TATAAATAAATTTTAAAAAAGAAAACACACGGCTATTAATTTTTATTTTTGAAAACTTATGAAATAATTTATACCCACAGTTTTTATGACTTGCTTTTATGCACGGTATCTCTCTAATGTACTTAAAAAATTATTTTTATTAGGGTATAGTTGATTTACAATACTGTGTTAGTTTCAGGAGTACAGCAAAGTGAATCAGTTATACATATACGTATATACACTCTTTTTTAGATTCTTTTCCCATATAGGTCATTACAGAGTATTGAGTAGAGTTCCCTGTGGCATACAGTAGGTCCTTACTAGTTAGTTATTAGTCCTTATTTATTTTTGGCTGCATTGGGTCTTCGTTGCTGGACGCGGGATTTCTCTAGTTGTGGCGAGCAGGGGCTACTCTTTGTTGTGGTGCGCGGGCTTCTCACCGTGGTGGCTTCTCTTGTGGAGCACAGGCTCTAGGCGCGCAGGCTTCAGTAGTTGTGGCTCACGGGCTTAGTTGCTCCACGGCATGTGGGATCTTCCCAGACCAGGGCTCGAACCCGTGTCCCCTGCATTGGCAGGCAGATTCTTAACCACTGCGCCACCAGGGAAGTCCTCTCTAATGTATTTTTAAAACAAACAAAACCTCTGTAACATATCAGTTTTTCCTAATCATGTTTTCAATGAAAAGTGTTCACTTAAATAACACTTTTATAGTAAATTTTTAAGTTGTGATAGTGTGAATACATATTTATTCTTAGTCAAACCAAATTATTTTAGACGGGTGATAGACATATAAGAACTTTCATTCTTACAGTGGGGGGGAGAAAAGAATCACAAAGGTTTTATTTACTAGGAATTACTTGACTTGGAGATTTAGAAGTTATGGAAACAATCATCTCTTAATCTCATTTTATGAACTGCCAGTGATTTTGGAACACATCCATAGCTATGAAAGACATTTTGTAACTAGGTTTAAAACAATTTTTGACCTTAACCAGCGGTCCTACTTGACAAGTTTTTGTTTATTTTTCCACTTAACTTACTCAAGAAAAGTGAAGAAAGAAAAATCAGTTCAAGAAACCAGCCAGCAGCCTGCCAATGCAAGGGACACAGCTCGAGCCCTGGTCTGGGAAGATCCCACATGCCACGGAGCAACTGAGCCTGTGCGCCACAACTACTGAGGCCGTGTGCCACAATTACTGAAGCCCACGCACCTAGAGCCCATGCTCCGCAACAAGAGAAGCCACCTCAGTGAGAAGCCTGCTCACAGCAACGAAGAGTAGCCCCTGCTTGCCGCAACTAGAGAATGCCCGTGTGCAGCAACGAAGACCCAACACAGCCAAAAATAAATAAATCAAATAAATAAATAAATATATTAAAAAAAAAAAAAAGAATACGGCCAACAGATCCTATTCCTAACATCTGCTAGTGAAATACTGATACAAAACATTTTGTTTTCATAGAGTTATTGGGTTCAAGTTAGAAAAATAAAACTGAATTTGAAGACTTAGGCTGGAAAACAGTAGAAATCTTATATATTTTTTTTAAGATTTAGAGCTTTCTGTTTAAATAAGTTCAACGTAAGTGACTACACTTTAAAAAATATTTTTACTTAATTAAAGGCAAACCTTGAAGTAAATGGAATTAGAGGAAGCAAGACAGCTAGGAGAAGATGCTTAAAATCATTGAAGGAAATATTCAGCCTACCAAGAAATGCTATCTATTCATTAATTTAATAGTACTAAGCCCCGTTATAATTGTTTTGCCTTCATAGCTTTTGCAATTCAACCAATCCTTTCTTTTTCCTTGTCTGAGACACATTTTTTTTCTATTCAAATATATACATACAAAAGTTATGAGGGAAGTAATAACATTCCTGAAATTAACAGCTGTTATTTTCCATAGAACTTTAAAAGTGATTTTTGAAAATTAAAGAAATAATTCTCAAAGGAAGTTTTAGCAAGTAGAAAACTGGAACTGAGAAAAGGGAAGAGGGACTTCCCTGGTGGCACAGTGGTTAAGAGTCTGCCTGCCAATGCAGGGGACACGGGTTTGATCCCTGGTCCAGGAAGATCCCACATGCCACGGAGCAACTAAGCCCGTGCGCCACAACTACTGAGCCTGCGTGCCACAGCTACTGAAGCCTGCATGCCTAGAACCAGTGCTCTGCAACTGCAACAAGAGAAGACACCGCAATGAGAAGCCTGTGCACCGCAACAAAGAGTAGACCCCACTCGCCACAACTAGAGAAAGCCTGCACGCAGCAACAAAGACCCAACGCAGCCAAAATTAATTAATTATTAATTTTTTTAAAAATAGGAAAAGGGAAAGATGATTCAATCTGGTCCTAAATCTTCCAGTCTCAGATTGGACTAATGTTTGCCTCAAATGAAAGAAGGCCCAAGACTCCTAAAGAAAATAAACATTCTCAGTAGGCAATGTGGTGTTTGAAAAGTTCAAAGACATGATGTGAAGGGAACAAAGATTATCTTTTCCTATTTTGCCAACATTGTCCTCTCAACTGGTTTCTAGGGAATATGAATCTTCATTGTTTTGTCTAAAAAGTATAATAAAATAGTTCAAAAGTCATGAGAAATGCCAGTCATAATTGGAACTTCTCTGAGCACACTAATTTACACATTTCTAAAGGAGAAAAGAGACTCTTTCAAAGTGTACTTCGAAAGTTTCACAGAATAGTGGTTTAGAATCAGAATCACAGGAAAAACATTCAGCGATCATGTCATTTAAACGTGGGTGTAATGCACAAGGACCCATGAGACCCTAACTTTTCTCCAGCTCACTTAAGAGGATTCTGGCTTGGCCAGCTTAGTCTCTTCCCTTCCTCTGCTCTCTGAAAATCCAAACCCTCCTTTTGGACTCTACAAAATAAAATTGAGGCAGGAGAGGAGAAGCTGGAAAAGAAAGGCATGAGGGGCTGGTGGGGGGAGCAGTTCAGAGGACTATGGGACATATTCTAGTATGTGACAAAAGTACATGGAAAAGGGAAAATAGAGTATTTTCAAAGATTTCTTGGACCCCTTCATGGTTTTTGAAATATGCAAGCAAAAGAGTTATTTTGAAATTACTCTTTGGTGGCTCCAATACCTCTCTAAGACTGAGCCAAGTGGGTTACTGCTTTATACAAATATATTTACAAGGGCAGTAAAAAGGATCAGTTCAGGCCTACATTCTTCACATAGATTGGCCAATTTCCTTAGTGAAGATGTTTGCAATTTAGAGATATGTAGAACCTGAATATTTAAACAGTGTTGAACAGTTGAGCTAGACATTTGAGGTTTATAGTTTTCTGAGATTTTTAATTTCACAATTAGATCTGCTGTCCAGGCTTCCAAGAGAAGAGAGAAAAGAAAAAAGAAAAAATTATCCAGAATAGCATGTATTCTTCAGGAGTGATAGAATCCGGCACAGTGGAAGATTCATTTACATGTCAAGGTACTTATAGATAAATGATTGAAAGATAATATGCCATGTCATATGAAGGATTTTTCTCTCCTTCACAAAAGTATAATAAATTATTTCATAGTTAAGAAATTCTGATCTTATAGGAACTTTCCAAATCCTTGAACTCATGGTTCCTTGCCCTCCTTAAGTCTATTCCTGGGTTGTCAAACCAGCCTAGCTGTAAGTCTAGAGCAGTGGTTCTCAACCAGGTAGGACTTCCCCATGCTACACTCAGGGGACATTTGGCAATATCTAGGAACATTTTTGGTTGTCATGACTTGGGGTAGGGGGGTAGGGATGCTACTGGCATCTGGTGGGTAGAAGCATGTGATACTGCAAAGCATCCTACAATGCACAGGACAGCCTCCCACAACAAAGAATGATCTAGTCTCAAATGTCAATAGTGTCAACATTGAGAAAGCTTTATCTAGAGCTTTCCTCTGAGATTACCTTAGTGTCCTACTTCTCCAGTCATAGTCTCTTAGCTTCCACCTTCCTGTTATTCTTCTGAGCCAGTCCTTGCCTTGCTTATTACCACCAATTTCTCAACCTATGCCGTCTTCATTAGACCAGTGGACTTTTCCACCAGGCACCTTTGTTAATCTGCAGACCTTCCTCATAGTTCAGCTTGGGAGGAACGTGATGTGAGGCCCAGTATAGAACAGTAATAAACAATGTGGGCTTTGGGTATAATTTAGGTAAGTTAAAATCCCAGATCCACCACTTACTACTAATATAACCTTGGCCAAGTTTCTTAGCCTCTCAGTGCATCAGTTTCCCCACCTGAAAAAAATGTGGATTTCATCAGGTGGGGAAACTGATAATATCGCCACCATCAGTCATCAACATCATCATCATCATATCAGATCCCATTAGGGATTTCAGTCTTATAGATCAGTGATTTTTCCAGGATTGGAAAATCATGGAACCGTTTAGGGGGATAACAAAGGTGTTCTGCTTGCATTTTTTATCAGACCTTTATTACACAAAGTTTATAATCATTATATATTATGTATACACTATGTACATATATACTATGTATATATCATGTACATACTATGTATGTACTATGTACATTTCATAGTAAATACGTTGAATGACTCATTTCTATATGATATAGGTATAGTCAGGGATAAGTTCATAAAGCAATTTATGTCCTTACATAAAGCACTAAAAATAATTAGCTTTTATTTGCAGGGGGCAATACCTGTAACAGTACTAGATCGCACATTAGGCTGAATTAAGGACATAAACTCTTGTTTAACAGTTGAGCTTGTGAGAGTGTGTTGTCTGAGGGGGCAGCAGCGGGGAGGGGCGCAAATAGATGCATGAGTTCTGCTTTGGGAAATGCTTAAAGGGCAAAACCACAATATAGAAAATGGAAAAAACGTACAGTTTGCCTGAGCTTTTCCTATTTTGATACTTTAAAACTTATGTGTTATGAATTGTGTGAAACTGTCACCAAACTTCAGGCTAGTTTTCTTTAATATGGCATCCCATTCAAACATTTGAAAATGGCCTTTTGCACTATTTTAATTATCCTATCTGTTTTAATCTTTCAGATCATAAGGCCTATGGATTCTCTGCCTCAAAAGATCATCAAGTAGTCACAGCAATAGAATATCAAGGTAGAGTACCTTACTGATTTTCACGGTCCGTATTGTTGAAATAACTCAGAGATGACACACGTTAGTGCCTTTCTGTTTGTCAGGAACCTCTGTCTCACTTCACGCTAACTCCCCTGCTGAAATGCTGCTCCCTGCTGTTTCCCCCTTTCTCCGCCTCCTCAGTAGAAATTTTGGACATTCCGCGAGAGACCTGATGTACAAAGAATGTCTCATTACATAAAGTATCTGCAACAAATCAAATCTAATTTGTAAAACTGGGAGAAGGAGATCTTGCAAAGTTTCCAGTCAGCTAAATTTGGTAAATGGGAATTAACACTGCAAACCCCACTCCGTATATTTAAGAGAACGTTAATATAGCCTATTGTTGGGGTATCATTTTGCTATTTATTTTAGCCTCTTAAAATATTTATAAGGGAGGAGTTGGTATTTAACAGGTGTAAAGTTTCAGTTTTGCAAGATGAAAATGTTCTGGAGATTGCTTGCACAACAATGTGAATGTATTTAACACTACTGAACTGTACAGTAAAAATCATTAAGAAGGTAAATTTTAAGTTATGTATATTTTATCACAATTAAAAGTTTTTTAAGGATCTAATAACCAAAAAGAATTATAAGCCTTTATAGATTTACTTCAAATGTTGACTATCTACTACTTCTCTGAAGGGTTTTTACCTAGAACACATTAATAATACTGGGCAACCTGAAAAATTACTGTTTCTTAAATGTGATGCTTCTTTAGACCATAAACATTTAAGAAACTGATTTCAAATGTCTGATCCCTTTTCTTTAGGCATGTCTTAGTTTCCCTCAGTTGGAGAGAGATAGGTTTGGAGTAAAGAGAAAAAGATTTAAAAAGGGGGCCTGATGTGAGAAGAATTAAATGATCTAGTATTTAACCAGTCATGCCCGGCATAGAGTAAGTTATATGTGCTTGTTAAATAATAATATGCTATAATAAGAATCAGTGAATCAGTCATTCACTTAAATAATTATTTAGGTTATTCAGGTTCTTTGAAGTCCTAATATTTTACATGATTAAGCTAATAAAACACTCTTTATCATGACGTAGCTTTAAATGGGGAGAGGTGGGAAAAAGAAATTAATGATTGGTAGTAATTTGGGACTATGGAGTACTTATAGGGAAGACAAACACGGCTGGGTGAGATGCCAAAAAGGAGACTGGAAAAGCCAATGAGTGAGCACAGTGAGAGGAAAAGATGGAGCAGGATATCCATGTGGGACAAAGGAAACAAAGTTAATTTCTCTCACTTTTTACTTTTCTGGAGGATCTTACTGTTGGGTCCAGCTGGATACCGTGGATATTCATCCCTGCCTCCCCAGGCCCTACGCCATGATATCTGAATTAGGATGCCAAGAGTATATTCTTTAGTATTACATTACTTTAAAAAAATGTATTAAGGCGAAATTCACATAACATAAAATTCACGATGTTAAAGTGAACAATTAAGTGTCATTTATTATATCCACAATGTTGTGTGACCACCACCTCTATCTAGTTTCAAAGCATTTCCAACACTCTAAACTAAAACCCTGTACCATTTTTATATCACTTTAAAATGTGTTTTATTTTTAAAATAAATCCTTCTACAGATAGAAAATAGAAAATCCTTCTATGTTTATTGCAATCAAATGTTAGTCTTATTTACTCCCAAGTAAGTATTTTCTATTTTTTTAATCTCGCCTCTGCTCCTTTTAATTAAAAATTACATTTTGATTCTATTTTATATGTGCTCCAATCATTCCAACTTGGCTTTCCATAAAGCAAAAATAAATTTCTATCTATCTTCTTCAACATTTCACTTTTAGGATATTTTATGCAGTAACTTAATTTTACTTAAAGTCTAAAACTTTTTTTTGTTTTTACTTTTTAAAATTGAAGTATAGTTGATTTACAATGTTGTGTTAATTTCTGCTGCACAGCAAAGTGACTCGGTTGGTTATGCATATGTACATTATACATTCTTTTTTATATTCTTTTCCATTACAGTTTATCCCAGGACATTGAATATAGTTCCCTGTGCTATACCTTGTTGTAGGACCTTGTTGTCCATCCATTCTACGTGTAATAATTTGTATCTACTAACCCTAATCTCGCAGTCTATCCTCCCCCACCTTCCCTCCCCCTTGGCAACCACAAGTCTGTTCTCTATGTCTGTGAGTCTGTTTCTGTTTTTTAGATAGGTTCATTTGTGTCATATTTTAGATTCCACATATAAGTGATATCATATGGTATTTGTCTTTCTCTTTCTGACTTACTTCACTTCGTATGATAATCTCTAGCGGCATCCGTGTTGCTGCAAATGGCTTTTTCTTTTTTTTAATTTATTTATTTTATTTTTGGCTGTGTCGGGTCTTTGTTGCTGCGCGCAGGCTTTTCTCTGGTTGCAGCGAGCGGGGGCTACTCTTCGTTGCAGTGCGCGGGCTTCTCATTGCAGTGGCTTCTCTTGTTTCAGAGCACGTGGGCTTCAGTAGTTGTGGCACTTGGGTTCAGTAGTTGTGGCTCACGGGCTCCAGAGTGCAGGCTCAGTAGTTGTGGCACATAGGCTTAGTTGCTCTGCAGCATGGGGCATCTTCCCAGACCAGGGCTTGAACCCATGTCCCCTGCATTGGCGGGCAGATTCTTAACCAATGCACTACCAGGGAAGCCCCCTGTAAATGGCTTTTTTATTTTTTCATGGCTGAGTAGTTAGTATTCCACTGTATATATGTACCACCTCTTCTTTATCCATTCATCTGTCGATGGACATTTAGGTTGTTTCCATGTCTTGGCTATTGTGAATAGTGCTGCTATGAGCATAGGGGTGCATGTATCTTTTTAAATTATAGTTTTGTCGGGATATATGCCCAGGAATGGGATTGCTGGATCATATGGTAATTCTATTTTTAGTTTTCTGAGGGACCTCCATACTGCTTTCTGTAATGGCTGCACGAGCTTACATTCCCACCAACAGTGCAAGAGGGTTCCCTTTTCTCCACACCCTCTCCAGCATTTGTTATCTGTAGACATTTTAATGATGGTCATTCTGACCAGTGTGAGGTGATACCTCATTGTAGTTCTGATTTGCATTTCTCTAATGATTAACAATATTGAGCATCTTTCATGTGCCTCTTGGCCATCTGTATGTCTTCTTTGGAGAAGTGTGTATTTAGGTCTTCTGCCTATTTTTTGATTGGGTTGTTTGTTTTTTTGTTGTTGAGTTGTACTAAAATATTTTATGATTTGTGTATATGTGTGTTCCCCCCAATTCATTCAGTTTTTTGTCTCTTGTCTCTATGATTTCAAACAATTATGAATTAATTAATTCCTTCTTTTCAGTACTGCTTTTCTGTATCACCTCCCATAGTGATGCCAAAAGCAGAATGAGAGTAAAGCGAGCGCTGCTCTGCCAGGCTTGTAAGTTACATGAGCAGCCTTATGCAGAGAGCACAACCCTGAGAGAAATAAATCAGAATTTAATAGCATGCTTTTCTCCACAGAAGTAATAATTTATGGTAATTCTCCAGAACTACTTTGGTAGTATACATTCTCTTCTTGCATTATGTAAGATTTTGATGATTTTTAACTTGAGCACAGAGAATGAAATCAAACAAGAGTCAACAATACAGAATCTTAGAAAAATTAAAATTCACAGTGATTCTAGCTGTGTGATTCCTTAAAGTGATTATTTTGCTACATGTTGAACAAATGCTTTTTCCAAACAAAGAATTATCTTTTCTCAATCCAAACTGGAACAGATATTTTTGGCAATGTAATAATCATCTTAATAGAAAAACTTGGCGCATTTTTCTGTTCTAATATGCCTTGCTTTGAGAAAGTATGATTTATGTCTATATTATTTTCTTTACTGTCTCAAACACAGGAAACACTTTAGCTCAAATCTGAGTAATTTGGGGGTAGATTTATGATGGTATTAAGTATGGATTTCTACCATGCCAAGGCAAGCTTACAGCTACAAGTAAGAGAAGTGCCTCATGGGTAAAAGTAATAATAACCATTTATGGAACATGGACTATATACAGAGTACCATGTGCACCCAAGTATGTAAATATATTATCTCATTTAATCTTTACCACAACTTTGCAAGATGAGTAATGTTGTTCTTGTCATTTTACAGATGTGAACACAATCACATCTTTTTTTAAAAAAGTTAAATAATTTGCTCAATATCACACATCTGGTTTATGGCAGAGGTCTAACTTCAAAGCCTGTGCCTTAAACTACCATATTATGGCATAATAATGCCGAGGGCTAGACACAGAAAATTATGCTGGCCATGAATGTTGAATTTGGGCTGAAAAGAGAGAGGAGAGTCCATGGTAGTTAGCTTCTCAGTTCACTTGGTTCTTTATCCTCAGATGTTGGCCCCATGATTCAGTAGATTTACTGTTTCTCACAGTTTTTGAGGTCAAGGTGTTCCCCTGCTTGGAACACTCCCAAAGAACCACAAGGCGAAATTCAGATTCCAGGAAATTCAAAAATTCAAATTCCCTCTTTTAAGTCTTTGGTTAATTATCACCTTCTAAATGAGGTGAACTCTGACTACTCTATTTTTTTAAAACTGCACCCCCATTCCCCAGATTCCCAAACTTCCTGTACTCTGATCTACTCTTATTTTCATAGCACTCATGACCTCTTAACGTACTATATAATTCACTTCGTGATGTTTCTTGTGTGTCTGACCCCCTGCAAATTGTAAAATCCCAAAGGGGAGGGATCTTTGTTTTGCTCACTGCTATAGCTCAAGAACAATGCCGGACACACAGTAAATACTCAATATATTTTGGACAAATTGCATAGACCATTTCTTCACATTTTATATGGTCAATGAGATTGAGGCTGGAGTGGAGTCACTTCACTTAAGAAAACCATTGGTTACATTTTTAACATAATTTCTGCAGAGGTTTTCCATAGAGTAATGAGTATAGAAATCAGGAAGAATTCACCAAAAGGAGTGTGTGTGTGTGTGTGTATCCAGTTAAATATGTGAAACAATATGATTATTTGAGTGTAAATTTATTCCTAAGACCTAGGAGTGTGAGCTAAAAATGAGTGTGGGTGTGTGTTTAATTGCTGGAAACTCAACAAAATACGGGAAGGAAACCTATCTAGAGCTCAAGACTCCGGAAGGCCACCACCCATTCTCCTTAATCAACAGAACAGAGCCATGTTTCCTCAGACAAGTCCCTCGGCACACATTTGTCTGTGTAGCATAATTGTAAACATGCCTGTAAAATGATGTCTGTTTGTAACATAAAACCTTTTAAAACTAGGCATCCAAAAAAAAAAAAAAAACCTAGGTATCCTTAAAAACAAATTTTGGATTATTTTTCCTTGTCTTTCTTTTCTCTATCCTACTTTCTATCTTCCATTACCTGTTATTCTATTTCTATATTTTTAGCAATGTGTGTGAAACTAAAAAAAAATTAGAAACAACATTTTAACAGAAAAATCATAATTCTGTCACACAGAAGTCATCACTGGGTTAATATTTTCATACATATTCATACAGGCTTTTTGTCCACATCTATATATATACTTTTAATAAAACCTGGGATAAATATTGTAAGTATTGCTTTCTAATCTACCATGTCACGTAATATCCTGAATTATTTTTTTTTAACGGCATTAAGTCTGCTTAACATCAAAATCAGAGGTATGAGAAGGATTTTAACATAGTTTCTCTTCTAGTCAAAGATACTGTGTTTTTTAGGTCAAACTGTATGCATTGTGGAGGAAAAAAGTTTCAGAAATATGAAGTTGAGGGAACTCTGCCCAGTACTCTGTAATAACCTATATGGGAAAAGAATCTGAAAAATAATGGATATATGTACATGTGTACCTGAATCACTTTGCAGTACACCTGAAACTAACACAACATTGTAAATCAACTATATTCCAATATAAAATAAAAACTTAAAAAAAATATGAAGTTGACACTCCAGAGAGCTGGCTGAAACATACTTTAAAAATAGTTAGAACTAGGGCTTCCCTGGTGGCGCAGTGGTTGAGAGTCCGCCTGCCGATGCAGGGGACACGGGTTTGTGCCCCAGTCCGGGAAGATCCCACATGCTGCAGAGCAGCTGGGCCCATGATCCATGGCCGCTGAGCCTGCGCATCCAGAGCCTGTGCTCCGCAACGGGAGAAGCCACAACAGAGAGAGGCCCGCGTACCGCAAAAAAAAAAAAAAAAAGTTAGAACTAGAGATTTCCATTTGGCAACTTGAAGTAGTTGGCAGGCAAGCCCTGGGTTTTTCTTCCGTCCGTCGTCTTGTTTGGACAGTTAAAAGAGGGGGCTCCTTGGGTACTTCCAGGAATTCTTTAATGACATAAGTGCAGTAAATTGCCCGTGGTAAAGTAACCTTAGTGAGCTACATTGAGGCGGTTAAACCTGATGCCAAGATGAAATCTTTGAATAATTTTTCTGGATTGAGGTGAGGGGTGGGAGTCAATAATTTATTAGGAGACCATATTGGGTGTGTATTAATGTATTTTCAGAGAAGGTTATCAAAAAAGGGATCTGAGTGAGGATGTAGCGTGTTGAGGGACCATTTGGGGTTCCATAGCATGGCCTGGGCTGGGCTAAGTGCCTTTCTTAGGCAGTAGGTGTGAAGCATCCACTATTTACCTCCATCCTGGCACTCATCACCTTGGACTGAAATTACACTGTCTTATTTGTCTCTTCTACCAGACTGTAAACTCCTTGAAGACTGAGATGGGGAATAAAAAGATAAATAATTAATCATAGCTGCCATTTTTAAAGACTTACTATGTCCAGGCATGTGTGTTTTGCATATATTATTGTATATGAAGACTCAACAACTCTATGAGATACTATCTTATTTTACAGATGATAACTGAAGCTCAAGAACTAGGGAAAGTAGCATAGTGTCACAAAATTATTTTGCGAAATAATCATAATGCTTTCAATTCATCTTTGAATTAAGCCAACCTGTTGAGGAAATTTATGAATAAATAAATGAATGAATGGATAAAATAATAATTTAAGGATGTTAAAAATTTATTAATTAAGTAAAATATTATTTCAGAGGGACAATTTTTTTTAAAGTATTTTTTATTTATGTTCCTAGAGGTTATTTTAGCCTGTAAATACCCAAAGAAGACCATTTCCTCCAGATTGGAGTGGAAGAAACTGGGGCGCAGTGTCTCCTTTGTCTACTATCAACAGGCTCTTCAAGGTAAGATGCTGGGACTCAATAAGGTGAGAGCAAGAGAGCACCAAATACCTCAGGTCCTTTAATTAACCAATGAGGGCAGGACATGGCTGATGACTGAGAATGTGTTTCTGTAAGTGTGAGATGAAACCAACAGAGACTGAGACCCAAAACACAACAACCACAAAAACAGAGGACAGGGAACAGAAGAAGTTCACCTCCATGCATGAACTCCATGGAGGCCCTGGACCCCTCATTTCTCACCTCACTTCTAGAGGATGTAAGATGCAATTGTTCTTGCTGGCCCAGTAGATTAAACTCTTGTGGGAAAGGAAGAAAAGATGGTGTGGGGTTGGGATGGAGGGTCACTGCTCAATTGTAGTAACTTTACCCTATTTCCATATCACCATTGAGAAAGCAAGGCCATCACTGAGAAGTTTAGGGAGTTAAGACTTAGGGGAAGGTAAATACAGCTACCCTTATCCAGTGCTTTCTTTTTTACATTTTTTATTGTTATACATTTCTTTACTCCCTATCCTTCTTGTTGAATATATAGTGAGCTTTTAATTTAAAGTATTGGTAATGATAGATAAAATGCAATGGTGTCTGTGATTTAGTTCAAATTAATCCAGTGGTTAACGGTGCAGATGTAGTAAGACAGGCGTAGCATTGATTAAAATTACAGTTGGGTGATGGTTTGTTAAGGTTCATTTTACTATACTCTCTAATTTTGTGCATGCTTGAAATTTTCCATTATAATTATTTAAAAAGTTGGAAATATAACTTAAGTATAATAAACAGGTTATTATTTTAAAATATGTTTTACTTTAATTTTAAAGAATTAAACAAGTGAGCAAATGTTTAAAGTTCATAGAAAATTTAAAATATCCCTGTGGTTCTTACCTGTTAAGATAGGATTACGGGCAGCAGAGGCCTAATAGCACAGCTATCTTTACTTGAATTTTCTGTAATGCTAATCTAATGTGATACAAAACACTATTTTAATTCCGCACAAATTACTATCAAAAACTAATCCAAAGAATGTTTTTAAAGACCCCCTCACCTTCTTTTTTGTGGCAGTATCATGCAAGCCACCACACATAAAGTTACTGTTCCAGCTAGTTAAACTAGGCTCTCCAGTATCTTTTGAAGATGTGAATCTATTTATTCTAGCATACTAGAAAGGGGACGAGGCAGGAATGAGTGTTGAATTCTTTCAAATAAAATATGGGAATACGGAGCTGAGTGTTCTTTTGTGAATAGTATGACGTTCTAAAAAAGAAATAGAAGTTTGAAAGAGCAGCACTCATATACAATTTTAAAATTTTTAAATTGAGTTTATTAATAGGAAAATAAATGCAGTGGTTACTGAATGAAGTGACTAGAGAAAGGTAGTATATAGAAAATTATTATATCATTATTAACATCATTGTCCTCTTTTTCTAAAAGGAGATTTTAAAGATCGAGCTGAGATGATAGATTTCAGCATACGGATCAAAAATGTTACGAGAAATGATGCCGGGAAATATCGTTGTGAAGTTAGTGCCCCATCTGAACAAGGTCAAAACCTGGAAGAGGATACACTCACTCTAGAAGTATTAGGTGATGTGCTTGTATCTGTGTGATTACTGCTCCCACCCTCATCCCCATCATCCAGCCCTGGAGCAATGAGGCAACTCAGGGCCCCAGCGAGTGAAGTTATAAAGGTGGACCACCAGCACCGCTGTTCCTGCAAAATCTTGGCTATTACTCCTTTTCACCTCGTTGGCTGCTTAAATGTTAATGTTACTAACTTATTATGACAAAATCTCTTTTCAGTTAAGATTCAGGTAAACCTTAATGGTCCTCCACTGTACATAGAAGCATTTTCCCCAAGAGTTTATTTTTTAACATCTTTATTGGAGTATAATTGCTTTACAATGGTGTGTTAGTTTCTGCTTTATCAAGAGTTTATTTTTCAATCATTTTCAGCATAGGTAGTAATTCTCTTACCATATAAAATAGTCTCTGGGCTTCCCTGGTGGCGCAGTGGTTGAGAGTCCGCCTGCCGATGCAGGGGAAACGGGTTCGTGCCCCGGTCCAGGAGGATCCCACATGCCGCGGAGCAGCTGGGCCCATGAGCCATGGCCGCTGAGCCTGCGCGTCCGGAGCCTGTGCTCCGCAACGGGAGAGGCCACAGCAGTGAGAGGCCCGCATACTGCAAAAAAAAAAAAAAAAAAGTCTCAAATGAGATGATAGAAAAGCAATAAAACAAAAAAAGTATTGGAATTAGCAGATGCAAGCTACTATATATATAGAATGAATAAACAACAAAGTCCTACTGTATAGCACAGGGAGCTATATTCAATATCCTGTGATAAAACCATAATGGAAAAGAATATGAAAACCAATGTATATATACGTATAACTGAATCACTTTGCTGTACAGCAGAAATTAACACAACATTATAAATCAACTATACTTCAATAAAATAATTTTTTTTAAATGTAGGCTGGGGAAGTATAGACGTTATTTTGGTAAAGAAAGGAAATTAGCATTTATTATGCAGCTAGTATGCATTAGGCTCTTTCACATGTGTAATTTTACTTAATCTTCACTGACAACCTGATTTTTACAGATGAGGAGATAGATGCTAAGTGATTTTCCTAAGGCTGCAGAGCTAGTAAGTATCTGGGCCAGGATTTGGATCCAGATGGGGTTAACTTCAAAGCCAATATATTTAGTTACTCTAAGACTCACTGATAGATAGTAACTGCCCATGATGACAAGTGGTGGAGGAAATGATCAGTTCTTCTCCATAGATGTTACTATAAACTACTAAGCAAAGAGAATAAAACGACTCCTCTTCCTTTTTCTACATAGTCCAGGCTCTTTCTAAAATTCTAATGATGTACTTACTGTTATAGAAGAAATTTCATTCAGAAGACCTTGCAGGAGATTCAGCTGGTGTATTAGTCTTCTGCTACATACCAAATCATCACAAACTTAGCAGCTTAAAACAACCACCCATTTATTAGCTCTCAGTTCTGTAGATCAGAAGCTCAGCAAAATGTGGCTGGGTTCTCTGCCCAGGATATCACAAGGCTGAGATCGAGGAGTCAGCTGGGCTCAATTATTGACTGGAGGCTCTGGAAGCAAATCTGCCGTCAAGCTTATTTATTCTTGTTGGCAGATTTCAGTTCCTTACGGTTGTAGAACTGAGGTCCCCTTTCCATGCTGGCTATCAGCTGGAGGCCACGCTCAGTTCCCAGAGTCACCACATTCCTTGCCATGGGCCTCTCTATCTACAACCCAACAAAAGCATGTTGAATCCTTCTTGTGTTTTGAATCTCTGAATTTCCCTTCTGTGACCAGCCAGAGAAAACTACTTTTAAAGAGGTCATGTGGAGACTTCCCTGGTGGTCCAGTGGGTAAGACTCGACGCTTCCAATGCAGGGGGCATGGGTTTGATCCCTGGTCGGTGAACTAGATTCCGCATGCATGCCCGCAACTAAGAAGTCCGCAGGCCACAACGAAGATCCTGCATGCCACAAGACCCGGTGCAGCCTAAATAAATAAATAAATAAAATATTAAAAAAAAAAAGAGGTCATGTCATTAGGGCAGACCCATCTAAATAATCTCCCCTACCTTAAAGACAAGAGATTTGGGACCTTAATTACATCTCTAAAATCCCTTCAGAGTAGTACCTACATTTGTGTTTGACTGAATAACTGAGAGAACGTGTACATACACCAGGGCCGGGGAATTGGCGGGACCGTGTTAGAACTCTGCCTACACAGACAGTTCTGGGTTTTCCTGGATTTAAGTAAAGTCTGGTTTACTTTACAAATCCCTGGGACCAGAATAACCTTAATTCAGGTATTCTCTGTCTTGGCCTGAATGGGATTTTAGTTTGAGTACTGATCCTGAAAATATACTCAGGTTTGACTTTGTTGGAATATAGTTGATAATAATACATTAAAATCATTGATGAGGGGAGCAGTAGAGATTGTTTATCTAGAAAAGAATAGCTGTTGTAGTAGCTAATGTAGTGTTTGCAAGTGTAACAGGCAAGCCCTGAACTCTCAGTGAGTGGCTTACATAATAGAAGTTTCTTTCTTATGTAAGTAAAGTCTAAATAATTGGAGACAGAGATAGCAGTGGTGGAACTATATTGCCCTACTTAATGAAATCAGTAGGGACCCAAGCTAATGTAAGCATGACATCTTTGATACATAGCTTTCTGAGGTCACCATGGGTATTGACACCTCCTTGGTAGTGGGAGGGGGAGGGGGAGGGAATGGATGGAGAATCATACAGGAAGCTTTTATGGATCAGGCATGGGAATAGCATATATGACTTTTCCCCAGATTCCATTGGTCAGAACTCATGCATGTGATCCCATCCGGCTACAAGGGGACTGACAAATGTGGTCTAGCTGTGTGCCTGTGAGGAAAGGAAGTGGGTCTCTTGAACAAGTAGCCAGTCTCTGTCACAGGTGTCCAATAAATCCATCTTTAGCTGGCTGTTAAAATCCTCATTTAGCTTGTAAATAACCAGTGCCATTTGACTTCCATCCTCCAGTGGCTCCGGCAGTTCCATCATGTGAAGTACCCAGTTCTGCACTGCGTGGAACTGTGGTGGAGTTGCAATGTCAAGACAAAGAAGGCAACCCGGCTCCTGAATACACGTGGTTTAAGGATGGCATCCGTCTGCTAGAGAATCCAAAACTTGGCTCCCCAAGTGCCAACAGCTCATACACAATGAATACAAAATCTGGAACTCTGGTAAGGTCATTTCAAGCATTGGCCTAATAACTGTCTTGCATTTGGAAAAAAAAATATTAGAACTAAAATAATGGAGAGTAGAGGGCTGATACCATTGCTCGTTAAGTAGAGAGAGGAAAGGATAGCAGGAAAGATGGCGGCACTCATACAGAGAAGTGATGGAAAAGGCTGCCACAGGAGAGGAGAAGACAAAACAGAGAACTAGGGAGTTGGACGCAAAAAGGTCTGCACCAGGGGCCTGACGCAGGCCAAGATGGAGTCGTGATGATGGATCAGGCCTGGAAAGGTACTAGGTGCAGTCTCGTATTTATAATACCAGGGAAATGCATGAAAACTCCCTTGGGAAGGGGACCCTCCTACACTGTTGGTGGGAATGTAAACTGATGCAGCCACTATGGAAAACAGTATGGAGGTTCCTTAAAAAACTAAAAATAGAACTACCATATGATCCTGCAGTCCCACTCCTGGGCATATATCCAGAGAAAACTAATTTGAAAAGATACATGCACCTCAGTGTTCATAGCAGCACTGTTTACAATAACCAAGACATAGAAGCAACCAAAATGTCCATTGACAGATGAAAGGATAAAAAAGATGTGCTGTATATATATATATATATATATATATATATATATACACACATACATACATACACACATATATACACACACACATATATATCACATATATTTCATTCTTTTATATTTATATATAAAAGAATGAAATAATGCCATTTGCAGCAACTTGGATGGACCTAGAGATCATCATAATAAGTGAAGTACGTCAGACAGAGAAAGACAAATATCATATGACATCACTTATCTGTGGAATCTAAAATGTGATACAGGGCTTCCCTGGTGGCTCAGTGGGTAAGAATTCGCTTGCCAGTGCAGGAGACACGGGTTCGAGCCCTGGTCCAGGAAGATGCCACATGCTGCAGAGCAACTAAGCCCATGCACTGCAACTACTGAGCCTGTACTCTAGAGCCTGCAAGCCACAACCACTGAAGCCCGCGTGCCGCAACTACTGAAGCCTGCATGCCTAGAGCCAGCGCTCCACAGCAAGAGAAGCCACCACAATGAGAAGCCCGTGCACCGCAACGAAGAGTAGCCCCCGCTCACCGCAACCAGAGAAAGCCTGCGCGCAGCAATGAAGACCCAACGCAGCCAAAAATTAATAAATAAATAAATATTTTTTAAAAAAGGTAAACAAGAAGGTCCTACCGTATAGTGCAGGGAACTATATTCCATATCTTGTAATCAACCATAAGGGAAAAGATTCTGAAAAAGAATAGAGATATACATGTATGTATAACACCACCAGAAACAAACACAACGTTGTAAATCAACTATACTTTAATAAAAAAAATTTTTTAAATAGAAAACTCTCTTGGGGATGCCCTGACCTCAGTACCAGCCTTGTGAGAATAGTGACTCTTGCCAACCTATGATAGGATGTCTGTGTCATTAAACTCTTCCATGACTAGCTCGTCAACAATTGACTTTGTGACTTGAGTATCTATTACTTTAGATTTAGTCCAGATTGTCTGATCGATTGAAAAGCCTTTCTAAGGAATCCTGTTGGAAATCTGTAAATAAGATCTTTAAAGTTAATGACATTTACAAATAAAAGTATTTTTACTGTTTTTGACTCTGACTTTTTAGGGTAGAGGTGGGAGTAAAAAAAAGACAATTAAATTTGAAGCTTTTTTTTTTGATTCAAAGTAATATGTCAGTTTAAAAATGCTGCATTTCCAGCAAGGCAGAATCACTATCACAACCACTATCAAAAGAATCTTAAAGGCGTGGTAATAAAAATTTTAATAAATTTTTAGAGGAGGTATAATATTTCCTTTCATCCCTTCAATCTACAAGTGCATGATAACATTTAAAAACTAGATCCTCTGGTAAGTAATAAAGCATATTGATAAAGTGACTGAAAGATAAACATATCGGTGGATTGATGTGGCTACTCCCTGAGGAAGGGATGCTCTGGCCCTTTCAGCATCAGCAGGCTCAGTCAGCAGGTCCAAGTGATTTTACACTGAGAAATTGGGTAGAAAACCTGCGGTCACACTTGGCTATATTTACTTTACAAATTTGTGTTTTCTCAGAGCAGGTGATGAAAAGCCCCAAGCCAAGTCTGAAAAGATATAGATTCACTTTCCTCAGCTCAACCCTTGAAATATCTGTGATGTCAAAGGGGTGCACCAGGGCAGAACCAGCATGGGTTATTTTCTGAAAAATGAGCAAAACAAAGACTCCAGTGTATGGAAGACAACGGCTTCCTTTTAATCACCAGTTATAATATCCTGGAAGATCATTTTCGGTTTTAGTCTAACTTTTGTTTATACATAACCTTGGCTTTGAGTTCATGGTGAATATCTTTAAAGGAGTCTGGCTCTTGGGACTGATGATTCCATAAAGTGAGAATACACAAGGGAATGCTTTCTATTGCACCATGTTGAAGGATACAGAAAGAAGAGGTATGTGGGTAGTGGGTAGGGAAAAGAGAGGAAAAGGCCGTAAATAGATCAAAACCCTGGCTGTTTTTAGGCACATATATTACATGAGGATACAAGACAATAAGGAAGTGCTCCTTAGAGGTTCATGGCCCCCTTGGACGCAGTCAGCAGTGACCACTGTGGTACTGAGGGTGTGACAGGAGGATACTGAAAGAATGGGTCTGAGCACCCCTCTCACCCTCCGTAGGTCCTGGCAGGATTCTTGAAGGTGTCCAGAACACACTGAATTCCCTCCCTCCTACTAACTACCTAACGAACTTCTCTCCTTCTATCCATCTATCTACCCATTGTTTCTTTCCTCCTGTCTACCTGCCTGCCTCCCTTCCTTCTTTCTTTCCTTCCTTCCTTCCCTCTTTCCTTCCTTCCTTCCTGAAACTCTCCGAGGTGCTAAACTACTATGAAGCCTGTTACATCAAAGTCTTGCCTTTCAGTTGCTTTGGCACAGAGTAGACAGAACAAGGGTTGGTTGGACTTTATCTTTTCATAATTTTCACAAATTCTACAACTGATAGAAGTTGTAATCCTATAAATGACATTAAGGCTTTCCTAGGCCCTATGCTACTTCCTGGTAGTAACTCTGGCTCTTTAGAGGAAGTGTTCATTGTTTGCTGCTGCAGTGAACTCACTGTGACTTAGAAAACTGCCTTTAAGGCCAAGGAGGCCTTTATTTATAAATGGTGTTTCCTAGGACTTAGAACTACCTACAATAGTTAATACTACTATGTGCTGTAAACTTTTAAAAATGCCCACTGTCTTCCTAACTGTACTACTTTTTCAGTATCACACACTAAAAAAGACACTTCCTGTATATATTTAAGTCTTTCTCTGTCAAATTAAACAGAGGCCTAGCTAATTACTCCTTGAAGACATGGCAGATTTCTGAATTCACTGTAAAGATATAAAGTCCTAGGGACTTCCCAGTGGCACAGTGGTTGGGAATCTGCCTGCCAGTTCAGGGGTCATGGGTTTGATCCCTGGTCCGGGAAGATCCCACGTGCCGCAGAGCAACGAAGCCCGTGCACCACAACTAGTGAGCCTGCGCTCTAGAGCCCGCGAGCCACAGCTACTGAGCCCACTCGACTAGAGCCCATGCTCCGCAACAAGAGAAGCCACCTCAATGAGAAGCCTGCGCACTGCAGAGAAGAGTAGCTCCCGCTTGCCTCAACTAGAGAAAGCCTGCGTGCAGTAACGAAGACCCCACTGCAGCCAAAAATAAAGTAAAATTTTAAAAAAAATGTATAAAGTCCTAAGTCACTGAAAAGGAAAGACCGACTTAATGATAAATTTAAGGAACACAGTTCTTTTGGGAGTCTACTGATAGATTTATTGCTTAAGTAAATATGTATTTTTTTCTTCTACAAATAGCAATTTAATACTGTTTCAAAACTGGACAGTGGAGAATATTCCTGCGAAGCCCGTAATTCTGTTGGACATAGCAGGTGTCCTGGGAAACGAATGCAAGTAGGTAAGCACGAAATATTGGGAGGAACAAATGGTTTAAAATTAGTATGTGCAAATATTTGGGGGTGGAAGGAGCAAGGAGTAAGTAAGAGCTGAGTGATTTGAAGTATAAATGGAAGGGAATGTTTAAAATCAGTTTGACATAATATTACAAAAAGCAAAGATGCTGTTTTAATCCAGCTTCCAAGCAAGACAGGAATATTTATCATTGTATTTTATAGATTTTTGAATTTTTCCAATAATTAATTTTAAAATATGCTCATCTGAGCAATCCTCTTTGAAACAAAAGCTAAGAGTCCTGTAAGTTGCTCAGAGTCAAGAATTCAGAATGGGGGTTCGAATTCCAGCTCTGCCACTTATTAACTATGGGCTCTTCAGCAAGTTATTTAACCTCCGTGCCTCAGTCTCCCCAAAATTGAAGTTATAATACACTGTCCTCATAGAGTTGTTAGGAAGATTAAAATAATTAATATTCAAAAGTGTTAGAATGGCACTGGTGTATTTTGAGCACTATATAGGTACTGGCTATTTTAATTGTTGGTAATTTGTTTCAAACCCCTGAAATAGTATGTTTATACTTATTGAAGAGTAGGCTGTCCAAAAAGACTTTTTTTTTTGGCCATGCTGCGCGGCTTGCAGGATCTCAATTCCCCAACCAGGAGCTGAACCCGGGCCACAGTAGTGAAAGTGCCGAGTCCTAGGCCACCAGGGAACTCCCAAGACATGTTGAATATAGTTATGGATCTAGTTTGCTATAAAACATAGCTGCCATATATTATATTCACAAAATAAGTGTCTTAGAGTCGAGTAAAATTCAGGCTCAATTATCTTTTCAGATTACATGAGTTTCAGAGCAAACATTGTTTTTCATTTTACTTTTAACAATTTGGTTAAACTCGTTCTTGTATGAAAGCCGTGTTTTGAAAATGGTTGTGTAATAGAGAGGGATGAGCTGGAGATGGCATCCGAGGGGTTAAAGGTCACTCTGGAGGGGGCTGCACCCTAGGTTTCAGGAGCTTGTCCTCAGCTTTGTGGGGTCAGAAATTCATTTTTTCAACACGTCTTGAGCTATGCAGATACGTGGGCAGTAATTTATATTGTCTGTGTACAGTTAACTCTTAGCATGCTATTTTAAAGAAAATATAATCTTATTAGACTTCAGGATATCCTAAAGTGTAAGATATTCAATCGTATACTCTAATTTCCACAAGTAAGTTTGAATTTCAGGGTTTTTTTTTAAATTCGGGGACACATACTATCTACCCAACCCACTCAAGTGTTGACATTTAAAGTCAAACATAAGCATTTACTTAAATTATCAGAAAATATCCCTCTCAATGCCGCTTTGGAGTTATTAGAAAATTCACTATCACATTTTATTTTTTCTTTAAATGATCATGTTTAATTTCAGTGCCTAATTTAGTTTTATCTTAAGAAATAATATAGGTGAAGTCATGGTTTTGACATACTAGTTAAATTTTTCCTAGCATGCAGTGAATAAATACATAACAAACTTTAGATTTCTGTGTTTTGCTAGTAGTATCACTTTAATTTGAACATGATTTCCACGTATCTATTCTTTCTGGTATAGTTGACTTAAAAGTTAGAATTGCTTTGTTTAAAGCTCATCCATTGATCCTCGATGTTTTACATCCTTGGTTTGGAATTCAGATCTTTGGAAATACATAATTCATGAAGCCTCATTTCCAGTTTTCTTTGTGAAGTATCACCAACAACTTGTAACCAAAACCAGATCTGTTTACTGTTCTAAATAAATCCTTTCTGAAGTACAGAAAGAAAGTAAATCATGGGTTTGCTGATTATTCCCAGGCTGCTTTATTGTACAACTCCAGAAAATTCTGCTCACACTTAGCATTTGGTTCCTTTCCTTTTATTTTAGAATAATGATACCCTCCTTTTATTGTGGCTTTTTTATTAAGAAAGAACACACAATATTTTCATACGTGTTATTACATTTTCTCTTTAGTGAGGCATAATAAGGCGGGCATATTACTTGCTCAGAATCTCACAGTAATTACAAATGGGATGAACACAACTTACCTCTAACTTACAAGTCTTCTATCTTCTTTTTTTGAAGAAAATAAAATAACATTTATACCATGACTTAGTACTTACTGGATAAGACAGTTTTTTTTGTTTAGAATTTGCCTTTAGCTTGAATACTTCATGGATGTCAGATTCATTGACAAACTACAGGACAGTTTTTTGTCAATGAAAATTTCAATCTAAGGGTGATTATAGCCCTTAGGTTAAACCCTTTGTAGGTGTCAAATCATTGACTATTACAAAGAAAATTGTAGGCAGTTTGGTTCTCAGGAGTTTTATTTAGTTATTAATTTAATTTTGCCTTAGATTATGATTATTGTGTAGTTCTTTTTTTCCTCTCTGCTATTTTTTGTCCAAGTGAATAAATAGATGAATCTCCACCTCCCAATACCCAAGCAAATATGAACCGAGTTTATATCAAGCAATAATTAAGGTTTCCTACTCTAGTCAAATTACTCAGCCTTTCGAAAGATTGACCCAGTTTCCTTTTTAAAAAAAAAAAATCAGTTAATATTTCAGAGGCATCTGGAAAAATTAATAACACTTGCCATTAAGAAAAAAAATTAAGACCAGGAAATTTTACGATAAGCAGACTCATTCAAATAATATTTCTTAAAAAATCATTCCCAAAATGTGCTGCTTTAAAATATCTAAAATTACTAGTAAGAAACTGGTACCTAATATTTTCTCCAAGTTATTTAACCATATGTTAATTAATACTTGCTTTTAAAAAAAGAACCCTTTGTTCCTTTAAAAAGTGTAGGAATTTGCATATTAATCAATACATAAGAAGTGTCTAAATGACAGAAGAGTATGGCTCATGAAATCCTCAAGGACAAGATGGAAAGATGTGACCCAAATTGAATGTGTAGATGGATTCACACATGGTTGGATCCCTCACCCAGAGCATGCTAGTAAATTTCGTTATATGAAGATATATGTCTAATAGCCTGTTAAATAGTTCTTTCTAAAAGTCATGTTTATCATTTTATTAATGACTTGAATGTATTTTTGATGCAGTTCCCAGTTGCAGAAATATTAACCTCAGAAGGTTAATAATCTAATTCTTCAGCAACAGAATCAGTAACTGGAAAAACCTCACAAGCTGGTAACATGGTAGTGATTTTTCAAAGTCAGGTCCAAAAAATGCAGTTATATTGGGTTAGAGGAAAGATGACTTAGTAGTAACAGGAAAAAGCCTGGGGAAGTTTAATTCATTTTTAACTTAATGGGGTAACAGTTTAATGGCATATATGTATGTGGGTGTGTTATGTGTGCGTATGTACACACACCACAAGCCCATATAAATTCAAGAAAGAAGATGTTTCTGATACTTAGTTTTATAGAACAACAGTGGCATGGGCTTTCTTTGGGGTTGAATGAATTTTCCGTATTTGTGAAATTGACCCAGATGATGATGTAGAGGAATTTTAAGGAAAATTTGAGGGGAGTGTTGTAGTAGAATACTTGAACTCACTGAATTTCAAAGCTCACTTCCAATCTGATATTTAATCATTTGGATTATTGCATCTCCAAATGCATGCAAGAGAATACCATACATTTTATTTCTGGATCATAGAACTTTTTAAAATTTAAGATTCTTGCAAGACTTAGCTCTGTTAATATTTTCAATCAATTTTGAACCATATCCATGGAAGTGAGTTAGTGGAACAGGCTTAAAAAGCATGAAACTATCTGTATTTATGGTATAGCTACAAAGGGGAGCTTTTATTTGTTTTGATTTAATTAATTAATTTATTTTTGGCTGTGTTAGGTCTTCGTTGCTGTGCGTGGGCTTTCTCTAGTTGCGGCGAGCAGAAGCTACTCTTCAATGCAGTGTGCAGGCTTCTCATTGCGGTGGCTTCTCTTGTTGTGGAGCACGGGCTCTAGGCGCATGGGCTTCAGTAGTTGTGGCACGTGGGCTTAGTAGTTGTGGCTTAGTTGCTCCGTGGCATGTGGGATCTTCCCGGACCAGGGCTTGAACCTGTGTCCCCCGCACTGGTAGGCGGATTCTTAACCACTGGGCCACCAGGGAAGTCCGAGGGGAGTTTTTTGAGCTTTTTCGATTTAATAACTACATCGGTCCATCTTTTTGACATGAATTCATGCATGGTTTATTTTGCATTCCAGATGATCTCAACATAAGTGGCATAATAGCAGCTGTAGTAGTTGTGGCCTTAGTGATTTCTGTCTGTGGCCTTGGCGTGTGCTATGCTCAGAGGAAAGGCTACTTTTCAAGTAAGTGAATTTCACTCTTTGCCAGACAACTTCCTGTGGATATAGTTTTCTTCTGAGACACTGTTTCTCCTAAGATGTTCTAACAGACTCTGGAGAATATTTTTCGTTAATTTTCCTGCAGTAGAAAATGTCCAAGATGACATGAAGGTGAGTCATGAAGCATCCCGGCGAATATAGGGAGGAAAGGCAGAGGTGTCTCATCGCAACATTCCAGGAATCATCACAGAATATGTGAGAGGCACCGGGGAGTGGCATAGCGCAGCGATACCGAGAGATGTGCAATGTGGATGGATATTTATAGCACATGTACATGTATTTAAGATCCTTTTATTTTAAATAAGGGATCGTATATCTCAAGATGAAAATTAATTTCTAGTTTTATGATAAGAAATTTCATTGGAATAAATCTGTGAAATGTTTTATCAGTATAGAACAGTGGAATGTTGAATGTCAAATTTAGCACAACTGTATTTAGAAGACAATTGTTCAATTAAAAACTAGAAACCTATTGTATTATAGTTGCTTCTGAGGTTTTTAATTCTTCAAGTTTAGGTCTGTTGGAACTCCCGTTTGGTGATACAATAGGTTTGATGTAAATGGATAAGATTTTTAAATGTTTTATTCTCTTAATGCATTTCTTTACTTCCAGTCTTTAAAATTATCTGAGACCTTCAAAGTTGCACAACTCCATCAAGTCCACTAAAAATAGTGTATAAAGTAGAATTTTTAAGGATAATACATTTATAGCATGAACAAATTTTAGACCTGCTGTTTTTATAGTGAACATTAATTTTGAAATTTAGGTTTAAAAAATATCTTATATCAAAATAAAACTTAAATGTAAAGGGGGTTTCTAATAATACCTATAAATAGGTATTGTAAAATGTTTCCATGAATGTGGTTTCAAGGATATTCCCTATAATTAAGAATAACTGCTCTGTGAATGAATAGTAGCTGTTGTGTGGTGCTCCTATCCAGTCCAGTGTAATGTAATCCGGCTGAGTCCCCCTGCTGGTCAACAGTGGAAGTACAGACAGATAAGGTTGCTCATTCAAAATTCTTGTCTTTTCTCTCTACCTGCAAAGAATACCTGTCTGAGTGTTTTTATTAAAGACTTGGTAAACGGTTTTTCTTAAAATGCTGAATTAATTAAAGATTTTATGTGAATATTATTAGTTCATTAGCTAAGAATGTTACTCCCGTTTTCATCTAGCAGAAAATCTATCTAAGAGAACCATTTTCTTGAACTTGCATTTCAGACAGGGGCTGGCAAACTATGACCCATGGACCAAATCTGGTCTGCCACTTGATTTTCTATGGCCCACGAACTAAGAATGTTTTTTTCATATAAACATTGCAGTCTATTTGATAATAGGGAACCCTAACATTGAACCCCCAAATAAGAGAAATGTTATCCCTCCAAAGAATTCCATTCTTCTAATTAGTAGACCTGTATTACAAGACTTTGATTATTATTATTATATTTTTAATTCATTGATAAAAATTTTTGAAAATTTGTTTTCTCTTTTGTTATGTAAGTACTTACTTAATATCCTCGATTTTACCTCTTTGCCCACAAAGCCTAAAATATTTGCCATGTGGACCTTTACAGAAAAAGTTTGCCAACGTTTGATTTAGGAGGTATACAATGTCAGCAAGTGAGAATCAAAACTGAGAAAAAGGAATTAAGCTCAAACTCATTTTTATATGAATCTGTATCATACCCTATTAATTCTTGCATTAATGATATATACTTGTTCTTTTGTAGAAGAAACCTCCTTCCAGTAAGTATACTTTCTTAATGCATGCCTTCCCCCATATCAACTACTTTTTTGTTCATCATCCGTTTAAAGTCAAAAGTGGGAAGTTGGGTTGTTTGTGTGGGTTTAATTCTATGGGCGGTGACTCAAATTCATCAAGGAACACATCCCACCTCATGCCTCATGCCAACTTGTCAACGATGTTTAGTTACCTAGAGAAGAAATATAGTCGCTAATTTGACTTTGTAGGCATTTCCATAGTACTACTTGAAAAACTTTTTCTGTGTTTTTCTAAATTTAAAATGTTCAAATAAATTTTTCCCTAAAAGTCATTTTACATTTCATTGAATACCAAATATATGTCCAACCCTGTTCTAGGGACTGATAACAGAGCAGTGAATAAAATAGACCAAAAAGCTCCTCTGCCCCATGGAGCTTGCATTCTAGTAGAGTAAGGCAGAAAGTAAACAATTACATGAGCGCAACAGTATGTCAGATTGTGATAAGTATTACGGAGAAAGATAAAGCAGGTAAGAGAACAGAGAATGCACAGGGGAGGAGTGGAGATTGCCCTTGTAAATAGGTGGTTAGAGAGGGCCTCTCTGATGAGGGGACGTCTGAGGGAGTGAGATATGCAGATAAGCAGAGGGGAGAGAACAAAGGGAAAGATCTCGAGTGCCTGGAGTATCTGAGGAACAACAAGGGGACCCCGGTGTGGTTGGAACAGAGTGAGAACAATGCAGGGAGGAGATGAGTGAACACAAATAGTGTAGTAGGGGCCAGATTATATGGAGTCTGTTCCAGGCAGTTGTGAGGAGTTTGGCTTTGGTTCTGAGTAAGATGGGACATCATTGGAGGTTCTTGAACAGAGGGATAGCATCTCATTTAATTCTTAGAAGCTCACGCTGACTGCTGTGTTGAGAATAAACTGTAAGGTGACAGAGGGTGGAGGAAGCAGGGAGAACAGTTAGGAAACTACTAACTAATCTAGACAAGAGAAAATGGTGGCTGGTCCCAAAGTGATGGTGTCAGAAATGTTGAGAAGTGATAGGATTCTGGATATATTTTGAACAGTTTGCTGGTTGATTGGATGTGGGCTGTGAGAAGAAGAGAGAAATCAAAGATGGCTCCAAGGCTCTGGGAAAGATGAAGTTACCATTTACTGAAGTGTGAAAGGTTTCAGGAGGAGCATGTTTGAGAGTGGTGGTGGAGGTAGGTAGAGAGGTCTGTCTGGAGTGCTTTGAAATTTTAATATTTGAGATGCCTGTTATACTGCCAAGTAGAGTTAATTAGTGAGTAACTGAATATATGAATCTGGAGTTTGGGAAAACATCTTACCTAGAGTTAGAAATTTAGGAGTCATTGGTACGTGAGATCTGGATGAGATCACCAGAGTCTCCAGTGTATTTGCAGTTGATTTGTGCCTGTCTTTGTATGTATGGAAATGGCAGACCCAACCTCGACTCTATGGGCGTTCCCCTCTACTCTCAGCTGCCATGCTTCGGAGACTTTGTCATCTCCTAAGTCTTTTGAAGACCAAGAAGATGCCATTGATTTCCTGTTTCTAGACTTGCTCCTCAGTGATGGTCTCTGAGCCTCATAATATCCCAGTGCAAGTCCAGGATGAGGTCCAAGTTAACAGGACTAGCAGTAGCCAGGTCAGGAGTGAGTTCTGAAAAGCAGGGTAGCCTGATGGTGGTATGGCCAATCCCCCATCGCACTCCAGGCAATTGTGAGGATTCCCACTTTTATTGAGTAAGATGGAAAGTGATTGGAGGGAGGGTTATGAACAGAGAAGAGACATCATCTTATATATGGAGAAAGGCTGGCAATGCTAGGGTGAGGGAGGTTATTCTTTCATTCAGTCTCTATTACTGTCTCTATTAACCCAGGGAGGCAATATCTTTATTCCTAGACACACCTTCCGTTTGTCAAATCCATGCTCCTCAAAATTTGTTGGACAATGAATTGGATGTTGTATTAGTCTGCTAGGGCTGCCTTAAAAGTGCCATCAACTGGTGGCTTAAACAACAGAAATTTATTTTCTCATAGTTCTGGAGGCTAGAAGTCCAGGCCTCTTTCTTTGACTTAAAGGTGGTGTTCTCCCTGTCTTCACATGATCTTATGTTTAAACATCCCTGTTTATGTCTGAATTTCCTGTTCTTATAAGGATATCAGTCATATTGGATTAGGACCCACCCTAATTACTTCATTTTAATTTAATTACCTCTTTAAAGACCCTGTCTCTAAATACGGTCACATTCTAAGGTACTGGGAGGTTGGGACTTGAACCTGTGAATGTTTGGTGGGGACACAGTTCAGCCCATAACAGGTAACTGGAACCGTAGTCACCACATAAAACTTTCCTTCCATGGAAAAAATGAAATTTGAGATTATAATGATTAAACTTTCAAAATAGTAAATGTCAATGAGTTGAGTTAAAAGTTAGTAAGTCTCTGGTTTGCATATTCCGCAAAAGTCGTTAGTATCTAGCCCTAGGCTACAAGTAGACACACAGAGCTTCACACATATAGATATTTTGTTACATGGTTTTCTCTATGAATATTGTCTATAAATATAAGAAATTCAGTTAGGATTTCTGGGGGCTTTTGTACCTTTTTTACTAAGATAAATGTTCATCTTCCTGTTGAGAAAATGTGTGGAGGTAACATTAACTAAAAGAGGATACATGTTTTAGAATTGGAAGCAATAATATAGTAAATGCTGTCTTTTATGTTCCACAAACAGGAAGAGTAGTTCTGCATCTAAAGCCACTGCAATGAGTGAAAATGTGAGTATTTTTAAAGCATATTTCACTTTTAATATACCTTGTACTAGTGTCTACCGCTGGTCTTTAGAAGGAGCTAAGTAAATGTTAGCTCCCATCCCCTGTCTGGGAAGGCAGCGTTTGTAGAGCAGTGGGGCTTTACCATCCCATTATTTTCTCTCATTGTGTTTTCTATTATTAGTCGGCCTCCTTAGTATCATTAGATCTGGCATTATCAGCTCCATTTTATAGATGAAGAAATTAGGACACACATTCTCACAGTATTACAATGGCCAAGCTGGGACCCAGGTACCTTGATTCTTGTCAGCTTGACCAAGCAGATCACTTCCAGAAGATCTGTGGTTCCAGGACTCTCCTGTGGTTATTCAAAGCACTTGGAAATTTTAGGGATATGGAATATCCTCTGCTTTTGCAGAAAGGAACATTTCAGAAATCCTTGAAAAGATGCAAGAATTACCTAATTCAGATTGTTAAGGGAACATAATTTAGATGCTTGGACCCTTGTGTACTTTTGCATTTGTAAGCACTACATTGAAGCAGTAAATACCATCATTGCTCAGATTTTGTAGCTCTTTGCATGGTTATTCAGCCTTCTGGACTATTTTTCAGCAATACAGTGAGGGAAGGGAGGTTCCCGATGTTTTTAGAAGTCTAAGCCCTTTCTTGAGAAATGGAGCGCTACTTCCCTGAATTCCTTAGTACTCTGTGGCAGGGATTTGCTTAGATTTCCTTTCAGTAGAGCTTGGGTGGGGCGTGCATTTTAAACACTTAAGTGACTCTGATAGACACTAACCTTTAAGACCTACATACTGTTCCATAGACTTTTTTTCCGCCAAAAATTAAAAAAATTGTCTACTCCACAATCTATCATGGAAATCACTTTATTTTGTGGTTTGCAATACCAAAGCATATTGTTCATCAATTAGCAGACAAGCAACATGTTAACTCTATATTTGCTCCTATAATTTGTAGAAAATACTCCTTTGAGTGCGGAGTAAAACAATCTCACTGGACCAAATAGGAAGAGACACTTTGTGGCTGAGTCGGAAGAACAAAAGCTTTGCTCTTTTTCTTTGTCTTCTGCTCGGTTGCCCTCGTCAGCCAAGAGCAAGAGTGTCCAATTTGAATTCTGCCCCAGAGCAGGGTTTCTCAACATTGGCACTACTGTCATGTTCTCCTAATTCTTATATAACAATTTATATAAGAAATGACAATTTCTTCTAAGGCTTATATAACGAATTTTTTATAATTTCACATAATTCTTTCTTGTCCTGTATGTTGTAAGATGCTTAGGACCACCTGACCTCTACCTGCTAGATGCCAGTAGCATCCCCCCAGCAAACAGGACTTCTCCTGTTCTAATTCCCACTCCTACTTCTTTGCTCTTTAGGCAAACATTCAAGGATTTGTCTCCTGGTATTTAATTATTTAGTTCCCCATAAAACAGATTTAATTAAATATACGCTGGTTTGTACCTGCAAGATTCTCATAGTGGATGTATCTTTGTATTCATAAGATTTCTATATTTCTTTAAATGTTAAGTAATACATCATATTTAAACTTGTTTTTTCTTTCTTCTCCTAGGATTTCAAGCACACAAAATCCTTTATAATTTAAAAGAATTCCATCTTTGCGATGCACCAAAACCCCAGTTGTTGCACTATTAAAAGATTATAAAACTCTGCTTTGTCTTACATTTGCCAAGAGGTACATGAGGAGGTGAAATTGGTGTTTCAGTATAATCTTTATGACTGCTACATCACTTGAAATTTTTATTTTACACAAATAGTTTTGTCAGCAGCTAAAATAGTCTGGCTTCTTGTGTCTGGACAAAGTTAAAGGAGTCAAAATACTTTGTAATATTCTGGGGCTTGTGAAATGTTAAATATCGTAACTTCTAGAGTAAGTTACTAAAAATATATCATACTGGTTGTGAAATTAATCCACAGAGCGTGAAAGTGTAAGCTGTATGCACCCTCTGTGCAAGAGTCTGATTTAGAGGGTTCAGAAAATACTCTGACAGATGCAAAAGGAACCTCTGGTCTCATTATTCTGTTGCTCATTTATCACTAATATATTCACAGAAGGGAAGTGGCAGGAAGGGTCTTACACCCAAGGATTTGCACTTTTTGTTTACTTTCATGTCTGAGAACCAAAATCAACATGAAGAAAAATACCTAATGACCAGAGCTCACTCACCTGGTGTGTGCCGTTGATTTCTTCATTAAACATCAGTCTGAGAGTTAAACACAAACCCAAGTGTCTTATTTCACCCCCAGAGCTGCTTGTTGCTATTTCCCTCCCCTAAGACCCCTTTGAAGAGGATCGGTGACTTTGACATCAGAACTCGCCATTGGAACCAACACACATAACCCTACAGATACTTGTCCCTGCATGATGGTGACTTCACATCTCTCTGTCTCTAAAATTTGTGCAGTGAAATTTTGCATTGGGCCGAGTCCCTTGCTGTTACGGCCAGTGGTTTTCCAACCCTGCTTATGGCAAAGTCAGGGATATGGAGGGGAGGACAGGTTGCCTGACAAGTAAAATGAGATGAAACGGCTCAGGGTGGCTCCTGGCACCTGGTGCTACGCTTGATACATAGAGAACACAGGAGAAATGAAATGAAAAATGGGTCCGATCATCTGGTTTCTAAACTGATAGATCACAAAGACCTCCAGCTAGTGTTACAAAGTGAAAATTCCAATGATCCATGTAATAGGGAGAGTAATTAGACTGTGTTAAAAGCATAATCATCCAGAACTTATTTTGATTATTCATTTCATATTGAAAAGACAATATGGCTAGGGCATTTCCAGTTCCAGGCAAATCTAGACGAAAAGGTCCCTCACTACCTTTGACAACTTTGAACACGGTTAAACTGCTTTTAAAGGAGTCCACTCTTTTTCCCCAATAGGCAGAGCAAATCGCCAGGATTCACGGGACAGACAGTTGGATTAAGTACTCACCAAGTGCCGAATATGTGCCTGGACACCAGGTCACTGGGAAGATGCCTGTTGTCACACTGCCCCCACTTGTCTGTGACATTCAGTGATTCTCACCAGACCTCTTCCAACAGTTTCCGTAAAGGGCCAGGTAGTAGATATTTTAAGACATGTAGGCCATATGGTCCCTGCCATAACTGCCTGTACTGTACTCAACTCTGCCATTTTTCATGTCATGGTATTGTAGCATGAAAGCAGCCACAGACAATACTTTTAAAATGGTCATGTTTGTGTTCTTAAAACAGGAGGCACAGACAGGATCTGGTCCACATGCATAGTTTCCCAACTCTTGGTGATGAAGCATGAAAAGAAAAAAAACAAAAAACTATCATTATAATTCTTAGAGCATTTTGATTTTGTTTTCATGAAGTAAAATTGTGTTTTATAAAGGTTAGGGCGTTAGTATCTTTAATAGCAAGTTTTAATTATTATCACTGTAACCAGATTTAATTTGTTTTTACTCGGGGGTTTAACCTAACTAAATCTGGAACAACTGTTTTTCAATACAGCCTTGAAAAAAACTTCATCTCACAGGTGGTTTTGTCTGATTAAAGTCTGCATTAATAAAAATAGCTGAACGTGTTCAATTTTTTAGTCCCATTTAATGGTGCAGGGGAAGAGTCATTCACCTATTGTTATTCAAATGAAACCCAGGAAACTAGTCCCTCTTACTGTCTGTAGCTACAAGGCTAACGCTTTAGCTGCCTAAGATGAGAATCTCATCTCTCAGCCTGGGTGCCTGCCAACCTTTCCAATGCTGAAAAAATGCTCTGAAAGTAAAATGTCACAACTATTTATTGAACACTTTATATATGTCGTGGAAGTGGGGGGTGGATGGAGTTGAGGCTGTATAAAATCTCAAATTCACCTCAACGATTGTATAAAGAGGGCAATGTCGTCATTTTACAGATGAGGAAACTGAGATGAACTGAGTCAGTGACTGCCAAGTTTACAAAGCTGACAAGTGAAGAGGCAGTGTCTATGTGACCCAGGTCTATCCGATGCAGGATGTTTTACACAAGATGTTTTTTCTCTGCCCCCAACATTCCTTCCTTTGAAATTCTCAAATTCTTCTCTCCTAGGACAGCTTCCCTTCACCCTGCCTAGTCTCACAGCCTGTGATACTTTCTGCCTTCCCTTTGCCCCTACCCCAGGTAAATGCCATGGTGGATCATTTCATCCCCTTGCCACAGATACCCAAATCTTTAATCTTATTTTTTTCAAGATTGAAGCTAACCACGATTTCAATTTAACCACCATTTAAATTATATTCTCTACCACTACCACCCTCCCTATCTCCATTTTCAACCTCCCATTTATTCACAGACTCCTCATTCATTGGCACGATTGTCACTACTTTTTATCTCCGGCTACTATCTCACACCTTTTGTCTTCTGCTACCTTCCTCCCTCAAGTACCCCCTCTCTTAGTAGCATTTTTTTTTATATATAATAAATGTTTTTGTTAGTTTTACTTTTTAGTTTCTAATTTCTTTTTTTTTAAACATCTTTATTGGAGTATAATTGCTTTACAATGGTGTGTTAGTTTCTGCTTATAACAAAGTGAATCAGTTATACATATACATATGTTCCCATATCTCTTCCCTCTTGCGTCTCCCTCCCTCCCACCCTCCCTATCCTGCCCTTCTAGGTGGTCACAAACCACCTAGCTGATCTCCCTGTGCTATGTGGCTACTTCCCACTAGCTATCTATTTTACATTTGGTAATCCCACTACTGGGCATATACCCTGAGAAAACCATAATTCAAAAAGAGTCATGTACCACAATGTTCATTGCAGCTCTATTTACAATAGCCAGGACATGGAAGCAACCTAAGTGTCCATCAACAGATGAATGTATAAAGAAGATGTGGCACATATATACAATGAAATATTACTCAGCCATAAAAAGAAACGAAATTGTTATTTGTAGTGAGGTGGATGGACCTAGAGTCTGTCATACAGAGTGAGGTAAGTCAGAAAGAGAAAAACAAATACCGTATGCTAACACATATATATGGAATCTAAGAAAAAAAAAAAAGTCATGAATAACCTAGGGGTAAGACAGGAATAAAGACACAAACCTACTGGAGAATGGACTTGAGGATATAGGGAGGTGGAAGGGTAAACTGGGACAAAGTGAGAGCGTGGCATGGACACATATACACTTGGTAGCACTTTTAATCTCTCCTGTCCTGAAGGCTCCTTTGCCCTCTAGTCTCCCCCTCACACACCCCATCAGTCTAACAGTTACTGCCAGATTACTCTCTTGAACAGTCAACTCCCTTCTCCCTTTTCTCCCATCCCCTTGCTGAAAACCTTTCACTCTTTTCCTTTACATAGTCTCTCACCAAGGTCTAAACATTTTACCCTGAAATTCAGGGCCTCCCCCCACGTACACACGTTGTCATATTGTCACACCTACCTGTTCAGCCACATGTTCAAACTGAACTAAGGTCATTGCATCTCAACGACCCTTTTTTTCTTCTCCTTTACCTGGAAAGCTGATTCTCCTAATCACAAGATATGTAGATTCTAGTTACTCTTCAGGACATCTTTCAAATTCCACCTTCTCTATGCAGCCTTCCCTCTTCTCCCTTCTGGAAGAAGTTTCTTTCTTCTCTGAATTTCCATAGCACTTGGTTTTCTTATGGCACTTATTGGTTTTATATTTCTTAATACAGTTATGTATGTACATCTCTGGCATCACCACCAATCTATTAATAGAACCACTTTGAGAAAAGAGCCACGTTTTACATACATATTTATAAGCCCCAAAGTATTTAACTGTATCTAATGTGTAGTCAGTAACCAGTAAGTGCTAAATGAATTTTTTAAGATCAAAAGAGCACTTGTGAAAGGGCAATTTAAAGAGTATTTATTGATAAAATTTCTCCATAGATTTAGAATATTAATACTGTATTTTGCAATGTTATTATAATCCAGTTCATTTGTTATGCAGAGTCACACAAATTAATGCTCCATGAATTAAGACTGGACAGACATGACTTTTATTCTACTCCTATTAGTTATTAGGCATCCATTTCCACACAGTCCTTAAAAAGATCTTAAAATATTTTTCTACTTTAAAGTAAGACATACTAGGGCTTCCCTGGTGGCGCAGTGGTTGAGAGTCCGCCTGCCGATGCAGAGGACACGGGTTCGTGACCCGGGAAGATCCCACATGCCGTGGAGCGACTGGGCCCGTGAACCATGGCCACTGAGCTTGCGCGTCCGGAGCCTGTGCTCCGCAACGGGAGAGGCCACACAGTGAGAGGCCCGCATACTGAAAAAAAAAAAAAAAAGTAAGACATACTAGAGTATGTCTTTATACTTTTTACTAAGAAAATGTCAAAACAAATGAATAGTGTGTCAACAAAGGACTTGTTTAACTTCTTTAAGACTGAGGGCAGATGGTTTTAAAGCTCCATTTTATGATCTGTTTTCAACACTGAATGTGCTACACAGAAGTGCTTCTTAAAGATGGTGTAAAAACTGAGATTTTTTTATGACCTGTAGTTAGATTCCTAAAGTTGCCCCCTGCCATTTAACTTTTCATTCTCAAGCTTCCTTTCCTTCCAAATATTTAACTACCATGAATTATACTGAAGTTGCTGTAGGTCAAGAAACCTAGTTTTCTAAATTTTAGGATAACATATAGCAAAAAGAATTAGAAAAAGTTTTATATGTAAAGACATATTCATGTAACAGAATGTCGACTGGGATTTTTCCTGTTGCCTGTAGGCTGACAAGTACCTCACTTTCTAAAGAAACCCATAACTAATTTGGGTATAAATACCTGCTTTGATGTTCATGAAGAGGCAGTTGTGCTACCCTGAAATTATTACCCTGGTCCTCTCTCCTTTACCCCACCACACAAAATCCATAAACTGAAGTGTGTAGGGATGGATTGGGGGTGGGGAGCAATGGAGAGAGACAGAATGAAGTGTCCAAGTCGTGTGAGTTTGTCAAAGTTGTGAGTTCTACTTCCCAACTCACCCCCCAAGGCAAGTAAAGAGAATTTTAAAGAGAATCACCTGCAATAATTGAAGGCACATGCCAAGAAGCAAAGAGCTATTTGAGCAGAGTGAAAAGAGAGTTCGAAAAAGATATCAAGGTAGAGAGCAGGGAAAATGGTGACGCACCTATCTTCCCATTGTGTCTCAGGGCAAGGATGTGTGAGTTTCCTGTGGTCAAGTAGGCATCTTTGAAAGTAGCTGGCCTTGAGCCTTCTTGCCAGTATCTGAGAGCAAACATCTGAAATAAGAGTCTGTGAACTGGACCATTGAGGTGGGAGCTGAGGGGAGTTTGGAAGAGATGGGTCGGACCTCCCATTTAAGGTAACCTGCATAATAGGAAACTTTCTAGCCCACAGAGCCTTCCAAGAACTCATACATTAAGAATCTAACCAGAGTAAGCATTTATAGGCCTGCCACACCAAGGGTAGCAACAATCAGAAACAAAATTCTACACTAAATGGATTTAAGTAAAAATCGCCTACAACGGAAGCCCTCTTTGGTTATTGCTATTATTAAAGGGAGTACTAGACACGTAACACGCAGGCACATGTCCATTTCCAGTTCCTGTACCTTTCCTCAACTTAAATATGCCCTTATAAGAACACCAGTCTTCTTATAAGGACACCTGTCAGACTGGACTCAAGCCCACCCTAACAACCTCATTTTAACTTAATCCCATTTAAGGGTCCCAATCCCCAAATACAATCATATTGGGAGGTTCTGAGAGTTAGGGCTTCAACATAGGAGTTTTAGGGGAACACGATTCAGCCCACACCACCAGGCAAGGGAGAAAAATGTCATTTTAAACAGCTAAAAGCCTAGAAAGTTGAGGTCATTTGTAATAACATATAAGGTGGTCCCAAATGCTAAGTGCAGGACCACTTTCTTGTAGGCTGAAGTAACAGATAAAGGCTGGAGTTTGCAGATTTGGGGCAGCCTTACCAGAAAGTTGAAGGGGCTATGAGGAAGAAGGGGCAATGGTTAACATCCATGACTCAAAGCACCACTACAGCATTCAGTTGGAAAAAAAACAAGAGCACTTCTCTGGTCAAAATTTAGCTAAATGCATAGCCCTAAGATGTAGGGCATGAGTAGGATGCTTAACACAGTATCCCTGCAGAAAGCCACAAATAGAGTCCTTCTGTTTACATAATGAAGAGATTGGGATGTTCAAGCAAACTCCAAGTAGTTGCGAGACAGACAAAAAAAAATTATGAAGATAACAGGTGTGAGATTATAAAAGGTAAAATTCAACTAAACTCTGAATTGGGGAGGGAAACATGAACGGAAAGGGTCAGCCCCATCTCCACCTAGACTGGCAGGGTCGCTGTTGACCCCAGGCTGCTTGCTTGCCACAGGAAGGTGGAGTAGAGCCAATTCAGGGGAGGGGAGGTTAGACAAAGGAACAGATCAATGAGGCTTCCTTGGTTACCTTTAATGGTGCCATAATGAAACATCGAATTCTGTTTCAACGTCTACAACTATTTAAAAGTAGTCCAACTGACCCATCATTGCTTAGCTTCATTTGAAGAAAACTGGGCAGTTTCTTCCTACTACTTTACCCTCCCTAATTCCATCTCTTCACATCGTACTAATCACACCTATATCATTAGGAAATATTTGTGGATCTTTTGAAAAGTATTCCTCACCAGGTTGAGACTTCAGCTAGTATGGCATGCCATAGTAAAAATCTATTTCTCTTTTGAAGTGAGCTAACCTCATAAGAAAGGCTGTATTTTTGACTTCACATTTTTGAAGAAAATCTCTAAAGCTTTACTAAAGACAGGTATTTACTGACATAAGTCAGAGAGATTGTCAGATAGAAAAAGGCACAACTGCTTTTCCTGTTTTTAAAAAAGAATAATTAAAAATAAAACCATCTACTCTCTGAAATTTTGATGTGCTTGCTCTGCCACTTCTCTGGCACATCATATCTGCTGGACCTTCCATCAGCTGGGCACACAACACCACAGAGCTTAATATATATATATTTTTTTGCGGTACGCAGGCCTCTCACTGTTGTGGCCTCTCCCGTTGCGGAGCACAGGCTCCGGATGGCCAAGCTCAGCGGCCAGGGCTCACGGGCCCAGCCGCTCCACAGCATGTGGGATCTTCCCGGACCGGGGCACGAACCTGCGTCCCCTGCATCGGCAGGCGGACTCTCAACCACTGCGCCACCAGGGAAGCCCTACAGCTTAATATTTTAAAGGAAATTCCTTTGTAGAACCCTCCCCTCTCCGGCTCCCAGCTCCCCCTGATCTATCCATATAGCCCCATAATAGACACTGTGATCATTACACTGCAAGGGAAGAGGAGGGACCTGAGTTACTGGGATAATAAAAGCATTTAATATATGAGGAGATGGAAGTTAAAACACAATGGATGTTCCTGGACATATTCACAATCACACTTGAGTTTCCTGAAAAAGCTATGAAAAAGGATTTATGAACCATTTCTTCATATTCTGGGAACGGGTATAACATTCTCCGCAGCAAACATTCTTTAAGTCAGGGTGGCTCCCCTCCAGCAGTAAGTCTCCGCAACAAAAAGGACACCCCTGCACTCAGAAGAATCTGGCAAGTAGTACCCAATTAATCCAAGGTCTCCATCTGCTTTGATATAACCAAATGGGAGGATCTAAAAACTCAAGTGTACATCCAACACCACCAAATAATTTATTTTGAAATCAGAATTAAAAGAACATATGACAGTTGTGAAATGTATGTTTATGCTGTTACTTCTGATCAGTTATACAATTAATCTAGGATAAATTACCAGATAAATTTTACATTATTTCTTCAGGACTGTGGTTTCTCGACGACTTCAAACTTGGGATCTAAGAGGAAAAAAAGGTTCAAGCTTAGCCATACTGCAATAAAGTTCATCTTCTAGAAAGTTTTAATATTTAAGTCATCAATCTTCTGATTTTTTAAAGAAACATCTACATGGAAATATAACAACTGCTTAAGATTTATTCAGGACTTACAGTGAGCCAGGCTCTCTATGTCATTTAACTACAACTATCATTATGAGGAAAACAGCATAATTCTCCCCAAATGTCAGATGAGAAAGAGGGACCAATTAACTATCCAAAATCACACAGCTCGTAAGTGATATTGTCAGGAGTTTGATTTTAGATCCCTGCCGTTTAACCTCTATGCTATGTGATCTCCTACCCCAATGGCATTTATCCCAGAGCTTCCCATGCACATGTCACTGTTCTAATAAATTCACATGTAATTGTCATTTAATCCTCTACACAACCCAAGTATAAATATTCTCCACTTAAAATGATCTCCCACAACAATGAATCTGTGATTAAAAAGACTTACCTTCAAATGTGAAGTTAGGGAACGTATTCATGTCTGCTTTACCATACATTTGCTTAAGCTTAAAAAGCTCCCTGTCTAGTTCTTGCTGATACTCTGGGCCAACATCAACAGGTCCTCCAGATGTCCTGTTGTGTAAACAACCAAGTTGAAAACAGATTTTAATCATTAGTTTACAAAAACAAAATTAAGTTTCATAGATCTTCTATATGTAGGGAAAAGCAGACTTTTCTGAAAGATAACAAGCAGTTCCACTTGAATTTCAGCTCAAACTATTTTAACTATTACGAGGTTTCACATAAATGAAGCAACTTCAAACAAATCTCTAACATTCAAGGTCTGTCAGTATCAAGGATACTTATTAAAAGTCAACCTCTCAGGGTCTAAGCAGCAATAAGGTATAACGGCCAAGTCTGCGGGGTCTGGGGTGAATGACTGCTTCCGTTTCAGCGTCAGCTCTACAATTTAGTAACTGTGTGAACTAGAGCAAACCGTGTGAACTAAACTCTACATCTACAAGTCTTACCTGATGGTGGCGTTGAGAGAAAGAGAGATTGTGTACATGTACCACTCAGCATAGTGCCTGGCACACAGTGAGCACTCAGTTATCTACTATCACTATGATTTAGCTCAACCACCACTGGACGGCATTCAAAAACTTTAAGTCTCTATAACAGGGGCCTAACAAAGAAGCAAATTACTTCCTACCCCCAGAGGTTTTGCCATTTAGAAGAAAAAAATAACATGTTTATAAACAATTATGCTGTAAGGGAGTTAGGTGATAACCTACAAAGACACGGTTTAACAAAAAGCTACTTGAATTGAGGGATCACTTTTGCTAAGCTGAACAGGGAAATTTCATTTTAAAAAGGTGGCATTTGTGACAAACCATGCATTTGGGTCAGATTTTAATTGGAGACATTCTAAGACTGAAAAAGCAAGGATGAGGAGGTGGTAAAGCACTGGCTGTATGTGGGGAACACTAAACAGCCTAGAGGGAAAAGCCAGCGGGACCCAGATCACAGGAGGCCGAGAATGTTAAAGCCTGGGACTTTGTATTTTGTTTGCCAAGCAATAAAATGACAAAATTAGAGCTGTGCTTTGGAAAGATAAATATAGCATCATGGACCAGCAGTGTTTACACAAATTCTGTTTGTCAGAATGTTACTGCCCACTTATCAATGAATATAATAAAAAAATCTATAAGTGAAAATTCTATCAAGGCTAATATTTTCACCCATGCCTATGATAAAAGCATAGGATCTTATTTATGCTACAGAATTTCCACAAAAAATACTGAGCCATCTCTAAGTTAAGAACTTGTTAATGATGTTTCTTGCTATGGACCCAATGTTCTTCTACATCAGCACGTGCAATAGAACCTTCTGTGATAATAGAAATGCTCTATGTATGTGCTGTCTAATATGGTAACCAGTAGCCATATCTGGTATTGAGCAATAGAAATGTGACTAAGGCAACTGAGGAACTGAATTTTTATTTACACTTCATTAGAATTTGAATAGTCACATGTGATTAACAGCTATAGAGATATACAGTTCAGTTCTAGATAGAGCCTTCAACCAGATACTTTGATGACTGTTGTCCAGCTCTGGGATCCACAAGCTTTTAGAAACATTCACTCTTCCAAGCCACCTTCCAAAATGCACCAGCTAGAAAGGAGCATTTCTTCCTATGAGTTCTCCAAACACTGAATGTGTCACTATCTTAGCATCTAACCTATTTAAACTTATATTGTATTTACTTGCTTAGAAACTTTCTACCCCATCAGACTTTAAGAATATCGTGTAGGGATTCCCTGGTGGCGCAGTGGTTGAGAGTCCGCCTGCCGATGCAGGGGACACGGGTTCATGCCCCGGTGTGGGAAGATCCCACATGCCGCGGAACGGCTAGGCCCGTGAGCCATGGCCGCTGAGCCTGTGCGTCCGGAGCCTGTGCACCGCAACGGGAGATGCCACATCAGTGAGAGGCCCGTGAACCGCAAAAAAAAAAAGAATATTGTGTAAATGCAAAGTGGCTTCTTTCTTTGTAGCCCACCACTGTTAATAGTCCAGCGCTTTGCACATGGTAGACAACCAAATAAAACAAAACTCTGAATTGATCTGTATCACTTTTCTGAAGATTTGGGTGTTGAACTTCATTCATCTCCAAAACTGTGTGGTTCTATTATTATGTTGCTCCTGGACTTGCTTTATGTCATAAAGCAGGAGTCTTTTGATATTCCCAGAAATATATAAATATGGAAGTAGCATTAAAGAAAAAATGTTGTGTCTATACATTTCCCCCAAATCATGATGTCACAAAAAGGGCACTGAATTGAGAGTTAGAATATTTTGATTATGTTTTCCCCACAATTAGTTTTATGACCTTAGGCTAATCAATGTCTAAGGGGCTTAGTTTTTCTCAAATATGGTTCCTAAATGATTTCCAAGATCCCATGTACTTGTATGAATTGATTCTAGTTTATAATAAATGACATTATAGTAGGGATATATCTAAAATGGCACTAGATTTAATGGGATTCTCCCTTGGAACCCATATAAGGAAGAGAAAATTTGGGACTTAAAAAAAAAAAATCAAGATTCTCATCTTCTTCTTTGGAGCAGGTAATGAACCTTTATGATAGAGATCAGCTCAGTGAAGGTCTTAGACACTTTCAAACGCCAAGTAATTTTTTATTACCATCTCAAAACTTACATACTTTGAATATTCACATGTACACCATAGTTGATTATCTACCCACTTACTGTCGCTTAGTTCTATATTCTCTAATCTTGTCCACGAAGAGTTTCTGGACAGGATCAAGTTCCTTATTAAATGCCACTGCCGTAAAACCGATGTTCCTCCTCAAAGAGACCGAGACTGCAGACTGAATGACAGAGGTCAACCTGAAGAGCCTCTGAAGAATCATGGTGATTCTGTTACTGGAAACAAGCACCAGAATGTGAAGATACTTTAAAATAGATATAATTGTAAAACACCTGTTAATATGTTATAGTGGGCATCTAATTCTACTAATTGCTACAGAACTTAAATCATACCAGAATTCAGTAAACACTAAGAACAGTCACCTGACCATAGCTCCCTTCCCCTCTCTACCCCACACTGCAAGTTTTTTGCTTCTTAACCAAAAGGCCCTGGAACCTAGCAGCAGTTAGGAACCACTCAGGCCTGCGTGTGGCTCCACTAGGGTCAGACGCAGAAAGCAAGCTCAGAATCTGGGATGGCATGTTTTCTTCTCCATGAATTTATTAGTCTTGGCTGCCCACCCTCAGCAGAAAAAGAATAATACTGATACCCAAATTAACGTACCAGGTTTCCCTGACTCCCTCAAAAGGCAAAAAGGGAGCTGTGCAGGGAGCCTGGAGACAGTTGCCTGAGCCTCAGTTTCTACTTCCCGGGCCCACAGGGAAAGAAACTGCTCTGCTTGTTACAACTGCAGGATTCTAGACATTCAAGGACACTGTAAAAACGAAATCGAAGTCCAAAAGAACCAGCAAGGAAGACAGCAACTAGTCCAAGGGAGCCCACCAACAAGAGAGGAAAAATCAAGCAGTACAATCTAATCAGTGAAATAGAATTTGTGAAGGAGAAGAAAGTCTGAACTTTTAATAAGGACTTAAAGACTTCTAAGTCCTAGACTTCCTGAAGCTAAAATACATGGTCATCTAACTAAAAAATTACAGTATATAAATTAGAGGATGATCTCAGTTGAGACCTCATTTAGTGTCCTGAAAAGATCAAATGCAAAAAAAAAAAATTGTATGCAAACAGAAATTCCAAAAGAAAAGAAATAAATAGGGAGACCATAAATAATTAGAAAAAACTGCCCAAGATGAAGAAAGGCTGATTAAACTGAAAGGGCTTACCAAACCCTTCTGGAATGATGATAAAGATTCACACCTCAATACAGCCTGGTAAAATTTCTGAACCTTAAAGTGAAAACCCAACCTGAACCTTAAAGTGAAAACCCAACCCAAATTACCTAATAACAGCAATAACAATAAAGATTCACACCTCAATACAGCCTGGTAAAATTTCTGAACCTTAAAGTGAAAACCCAACCTGAACCTTAAAGTGAAAACCCAACCCAAATTACCTAATAACAGCAATAACAATAAGCATCATCTCACTGACACTGGACTACTATTAAATTATAATACTACTGCTCAAAGTGTGGTCTGGGGACCAGCAGTAGTATTGCCTTACTGGTCTATAGTAATACCAAAATTGGCAATAAGCATTTAGAAACTTTTACAGCGAATTGACAGAGTAATTCATATCTGTTGAATTTAATAATACAAAAAGAGTTCATATTTTGTGTGTCTTCATTGTTTTGTCTTTCATCTACTAATTTTTCCAGTAATTCATTTTTACTGTATTCTTCAAAAATATCCACACGGGTTGAGGGGAAATGGCCCTTTACTAATGAGAGTTGGAAAGCACTAAGCTAGACGACAATGGAGTAGCACAGCAGTTCTCAAATACAGGTGGCGGTATCCCCCAGGAGATATCTAGCAATGTCTGAAGACATTTTTGGTTGTCTTGATAGCCGCGAGTGTTACTGGCCTCTAGAGGATAAAAACCAGGATGCTGCCAAACATCCTATAACAACAACAACAATAATAACAATAGCCTGCCCACAACAAAGAAATATCTGGTCGAAAATGTCAATAGTGCTAAGGTTGAGAAGCCCTGAAATTGCACATAAAAACCACCAAAAGAAATCCTACAATCAACCAAATATCCTTCACCTGCCAGCATGAAAGAAAACTATTTGAAGAAATTAAAGATTTCATCATACATCACTCTTATACCTCATCAGAGGAAAAAAAGGGGGGGGGAGGGGAGACTCCAAGCAAACAACAAATGACCTTAAGGTGCCACTTAATAGCATTCTCATTTTACACAGAAACTGAGGCTTAGCGGTAAGTACCTGATCCCAGGTTACACAGTAGAATTTGACAGAACACAAACATATTTTTCAAATTGTGCAATTCAGTGTATATTTTCCCCTTTGGCAACGTAAAAACACACAACACTCTGCAACGTGGTCACCTAACACTTGTTCAGCCCTAGGTATTTTGCAAAGTACTTCTAGACATATTCTCTCCTTGTTCCCTTATGGCAATACTGTGAAGAAACAGAGAAAGGTGTTCTTATCCCTCCTTTACAGATAAGAAAATGTTTAAGAAAAGTGATTAAATTATTCATATTCCCACAGTTAATTTGCTCTAACATTGCAAAGATCATGTTACTCCTACTGCAACATGGGTAAAACCCATTTTCATTTTCTCTATTTCTATCATCTAAGTATGAATGATTCCCAAATCACACTTCTAATTTTGGTCTTTTTCCTGAACTCCAAACCTATACATTCGACAGCTCTCATCCTTTCCTAAGTCCTACCGGGCCCTCAAATTCAACTTATCTAAAAAATGAACACATAATCTCACTATCAAAACTTGCTCCTTTTCCTTTATTCCGTTTCATTTTTTTCCCCACTGATTAAAGATCTAGTGAGAAAGATACATGTTATTACACAAATAGGTATAAAATACCAACTATGATTAAGTTCTCTATTCGAGTACTATGAGGGGCCACGCCAGCCTATGACAGGGATTTGACACTCAGAAAGACTGGGGAAGGCAACAGCAAGAAAAGGGTACAGCGTAAGAGGCGGCCTTGTGCTGAGAGGGAGCACGGTTCTCCCGTTTACAATGATGACTGACCAGCCTTTCGCTGCGATTTCGGCGCTTGTTCATTGCTGAAGTCAATCCACAACTCGCCTGACTTAACCGGCTCTCTTTTTCCCTCCTGGAATCCGTGATGTAAAACAAAGCTGCTTAACCAAGTTTTAGCACCACCAACGTTTTTAGGTGGGTTGCAAACTTTTAAGATTACTATTATCCTTTCCCCTCTTACGTTCTACTTTTAAATGCTGTAGTTCAGAACAATCGCCCGCGCGCCAGGGCTGAGCAGGCCTGGCTGCAGACCGGCCCCGCGGGCATGACCTTGGCTGCCCCAGCCGGGCGGCGGGTCCATGAAGCGCCGGCCCCCCTGCCTCCCACGCCACCCTGAGCGTCAGGCTGGCCCTGAGAGCGGTATTATCAGGGCTACCTACTGAGTCTACCGCAAACTTCAAGGCCTAAAGGCGCCGAGGTCAGCAATGACTCCGGGCCAGACCGTGAAGGTGTCCAGGATACAGGCGGCTCTCTTTCAGAAGGGCAGAGGTGATAGGCAACCCAGACCTCGTGAAGAAACCCAGAATGCTCGTCCCTAGAGGCCAAGTGAGTCCAGTTACCCTCCCAGTCACCTTGCACTCGGTGCCGAGCTGCCAGAGCTACCACCGCCGCCGCCGCCACCGCCACCGTTTTACTTCCGGCCCTGGCTCCGCCCCCCCCGCCTAACCGCCATCGCAATGCATTATGGGCCGCCGTTTCAGTCGGTCGACACTCACCGGACAGGAAGCGTCTCGGAGACAGTCGGCGACCGGACGGCTCTAGGTGAGACAGAAGCCAAACAGGAGGAGGAAGTGGAGGGTAAGTGCTTCCGGGTCCCCTGGCGACGCCTCCGCCATCTTTCCTTCTCCCAAGTTGACCTGCTCTCTTTTTCCCTCTCGGAAACCTTGTTTTGTACGCATGCGCACTTGGACTGGCCTTTCCCCTAGTTCAATCCCCACCGCCCCGAGTCAGCGTCCTCTTCCTTGGGGTGGTTGAGGTGTACGACTGTGCAAGCAAAGTGACAGAGTGTAAAACAAAGCGGATTGGGGCGTTGGGCTCCCTTGTGCCTCGTGAGCCTCCGTTGCCTCGGGCGTTCGTTTCGCGCAACCTGCTGGGAGTTGTAGTCCCGGACCCGGGGGTGCCTGGGAGGTGGGAGGGGGGGTTGGAGTTTCTCTGCGCCGTTTTCGCGGGAAGGGCCCAGGGGCCTCTCACTTCGAGTCGCTGGAGCTGCGGGTCTTACCGGGAGAGACGCCGCACGTGGAGCCCGCGGCGCTGCGGTTTTCAGCCGGCTCTGGACTGCGGGCGGGGGCGACGGGGCCGAATCCAGAGCGGGTGAGTGCGGCCGCTGGGGAGGAGGGGAGCGCGGGTCCGCGCGGGCCGGCTTCGTTCCGGGGCCTTCTCCCCCACAGCGGCCCCCCCGCGGCCGCCTCTGTGTTTTGTTTCCGCTGGTCCCCGGCGCTGTGACTCCCATTTCCGTTCGTGGAGACTTGAGGGAGCCGGGTGGGGAGGGGCGGGGGAGGCTGTGCGGGGAGCGGAGGGGAGGGGCGGGGGGCGCGCGGCGCGGGACTCTGCTAAGCCGCGCGCACTCGGGGCCCCGGTCGTTCGTGTCACCCTTCGCCGCCCCCTTCCCTCACTATTCCCTGCTCGACTGTCCGCCGTGGTCCGCATTCGCCGCGGTCGGGATCTGATCCTGACGCCCCGGGGATTTCAGAGGAACATGCAAAACCATCCTCCTTGCCAACTCAGCGATTCGCTTTCACTTCGTATCCAGTTGTCTTTCTAGAATTCTTACAGTTGCATCAAAGCCATCTATTAATGTATATGGTGTCCGTTGGGTTTCTTTTAAAAACGAGGAAGTGTGAGGCAAGGGGAAAATGATGGGTTAATGTAGCTTGTCAGCTTTTTTAGTTTTTTTGTGGACTGGAAGATACGCCCGCGCGTGTTTGTATTTAGGAACCCTGGTTTGATTAGGTTAACAGCAGAGAGGACAACGCCTAATGTTGCACTGCAAGATGACGAGTAGTGATTTAGAAATACGCGCAGTAGGTCTGAGTCGTGAGAGGAGCAAAGTTTTAGAAAGGTCCACTTAAGCAAAGTGAAGAACTGGACAGTGATAACGTTCTTAGGTACTTTGTTGTCTTAAATATCAAAAGAAACTGGTCCAACTCGTTCGGAACTACTTAAAGGGAATAATAATCTCTCTCTCTTAAGGTTTGATCCAAGCTTTCCAAGCTTATTTATTTTTAAACATATTCTGACACTAGGTGGACTTAAGCAGTTTTTACGTGGATTGCGTCTACAGGACCAATGCCATGAGGGGTGTATAGTCTTGAAGTAAGAAAATAATGAGCTAGGTGTTTCGTTGAGGCAAGTCATGAGAGCATGTGGAGGCTGAATACCAAATTAAAACTGTTGACTTTAATCTTCCTCCAGCTTTTATTTATGAAACTTCAAGTTTACAGGAAAATTGAAAAAATTATACAGTGAAATTATACAAGGAACACCTTCACCCCCAGGGTCACCAAGTGTTAACCTTTCTCCACTCTTGCTTTCTTTCTCCATGTGTATCCACACAGATGTATGTGTGTTACTTTTTCTTAGCTATTGACTTTATCTTTAAGAAACAAAAATGTCTTTTAATTTACTCAGGATACTTAACAGTATTTTTTAGCTTGAGAGAATGTGCAGTTATCTGGTAGGTACTCCCAGATTGCACTTGTATTTATGTATCCTTTATTTATTTATTATCCTTTATTTATTTATTGTCCTTTACTGGGAAAAATGGGCCTAAACTCTGTAAACTAATAATGTGTTCCAGTGAAGAATAATCCTCAAATTTATCTGTGACTCTAAAAGAGAATGATAAACATAACTGTATTTTAAAGAATAGTAGCCTTTCCTGGAATTGTTAGTTAAATATAAATTTAGTTTGTATTCATTTTGTGAAGTGTTCTGAACCCAGGTTAGATTTAATCTAGGAGAAACCAGGGTGTCAAGGGGCACCTTTTCCTAGGGGGAAGGGCCCAAAGTAATGCTCTCTTCTCCATTTTCTTACGTATTGATATAGAATCCTGGGGAATTGTTTCCAGAAAAAGAGCTAAGACCCACTCAAGCAGTGATATCAAAGATTTGGACAGTTTCCCAAATCTCTCCATTGCTTCTTTAGCTTAAATTTAGAGAATTGAGAAAGAGGAAGATCAATTCAGGGACTGTAAGTAGCATGATTTTTTCCAAAAGCATATTGGATTCTTTTTTTTTTTCTTTATTTGGCACCTTCTAGAGACTGATCTGTGACTTTTTTGGAAGATCACAGGGTAAATTTCTTAACAATCCTCTGTCTTAGTGCTTATACTCAGAGGTACCAAAGGTGTCCCTGCTGATAAGCCCTCAGGGCCATTTCTCAGCCTCTGGTTGTTACCAGAAAACTGGGTTCATCTCTTGGTGGGTGGCAAGACAAAAGACACAACCAAGCCAAAGATCAGAAGAAGAAAGGGTGTACTACTTGCAGCAAGGAGAATACCAGGATCTTCCCAAAGCGGTATCCTGAACAGCAAAATTGATGACCTTTTAAGCTAAGGGTACTTGCATATTCATGAAGGGTCTTGGGTGGTGCATGCCTATTCATGAAGGGGCTTCAGCAGGAGAATTCAGCATAGAATTGGAGCAAAGGTTGACAGCATCCATGCTTTAGTTGATTGAAGTCACAAGGGTCAGAAAAGGTCAACATTATCATCCCTTAGGTTACAGTTGATCTGGTGGTTGAGCGCTGGGGGTGGGGGGGGGTTAAATTCTGAAAAACAGCTTAAGAAAGTGCTTCAGGCTAATCTTTACCATGGAAACAGAACTGGGAGTCTTTATAACTGATTTATTATCTTTGCTATTGTTACTCCTTAAGAGCATTATTACTGAGACCTGTTCAAGGGTAATCGTTGTGGCCAGGCTTAGATTCCCAAATGGCTTAGGCCAAAAATGGCTTCTCATGTCAAGAAAGCCATGCCTGGTCCTTCTTCTCTGGATACCGCCTACCTTATCTGCTTACAGTTACTGCTTCTTAGACTTTCTGTTTTTCCAAAGTTCCTAGAAAATTCACTTGTTTTCTAATCTTTTTTTTAAAGTTGGTTATGGAGATGGGAGTGAATGTCCTTGTAGGCCCTGAAAATACAACATAAATGATCTTTTTAAGTGCTGTCCTGCTAAAAACCTTATTCTGGTTCTTACCTTTTTTGTACAGTTTTTATGATTTTTGCGTGTATGTGTGTGTACGTTACCTCCTTGTTTCTAACAGCTACTGTAGTTCCATGGTGTGTACTTCTTTCATATTTTCTTGTATCCGCAGTACTCTCTTACCATGGATATTGGCTTCAGCTTTCAGCTATCTCCAGCAAAGCTGCCCTTAACATCCTATTATCAATCATCGTGAGAATGTCTCTGGAATGCTTATCTGAGGGCAAGATTGCTGGGTCATAGGTATAAGCACTTTATTTGAGCAAGTGCTGCTAGAGTTTTCTCCAAAATAGTCCTGTCTATACTCTATCAATAGTCCTGTCTATATTCGATGCCCCCATGTCCCTGCTAACTCTTTTCAGTATTCAACGTTCTAATCTTTGCCATATATGCACAGTATAAAGTGAATAATTTGAATGTGAGCATTTCTTCATGTCCGTAGCCATTTTGGTTTCTCTTTATGTGAGTTTCCTTTTTCTGTGCTTTACTGGCTTTTCTAATTTGTCCTGACTTTTGGGGGGGTGTTATCAACTTGCAGGAGTTCACTGTGTATTCCAATTATTAGTCCCTTGTCATGTGTGGATATTGGAAATATCTGTTTCTACTCTGTAGCCTGTCAGTTAAACATAACTCTTAATTTTTATGTAAGGAAATCTATCCGTTTTTTTCCTTATGGTTTATGTTTTTGAAATTATGTTTAAGAAATCTTTTCTATCATTAGACCACAAAAAAATTCCCACCATTTCCTTCTATTAGCTTCATAGATTTACCTTTCACATTGAAGCCTTTTAGGCTTCTGGAGTCAGTTATACAGTGTGTAATAGTTGTTATAACATTCACTTATCCAACACATTTTAATAGAGTGCCTACAAAGGGAGAGGCAGTTCAAAGTTCTTTGTATATATCTGTGAACAAATACCCGTTCCCAGGTGAGCTTGTGTTGTTCTACAAGGATAGGCCTTATTGGGTCACCACCTCCTGTTTTGCTCTAGTGCTCAGGATGAATTCCACAGTTTTACACATAGTATCTGTTAAGAAATAGGCTTTATGGGGAAAGGGAAGACTTACTAGGCCAGGGTCAGCAAGAAAAGAAAACAAAAGCCCTTCATTCTTTCATCATCCCAACCAAAATCTGCTGGGGCCTAGGCATTCTGCTGGATGTGCATGATGTGTATCTATTTCAGTGGAGAGCCCCACCCTCTTATTATGCTTTCTTATTGTAGGGGAGCTGTGAGAGCAACCTTAATAATGTGGGGAAAGTCAGATCATTTTTGTACTAGGCAGTCTAGATTTGGATGCCAGCGATTTATAGAATAAGTTGTCAGAAAACCAGCTCCCCAGCATTTGGAGATGTTTGGACCTGAGGAGAGTTACAATCCTTTTTAAAGTGGGAAAGAAGACTGTGTTAGTTTCCCAGAGCTACTGTAACAAATTACTACAAACTTAGTGGCTTGAAAACAATTTATTATCATACATTTCTTGAAGTCAGAAGTCTGAAATGGGTCTTCCTGGGCTAAAATCAGATGTTAGCAGAGTTGCACGTCTTCTGGAGGCTCTAGGGGAGAATCTGTTTCCTTTTTCCAGGTTTTAGAGGCTGCCTGCGTTCCTTGGTTTGTGGCTCCTTTCTTTCATCTTCAAAGCCAGTCATAGCCAGCC